CGAGATTTCTGTTTTCTTTTCCCTTCACTATTCATCCTCCTGCACGGGAAATATAATATTTTAAACTTTCCCGCGGTCCTCCCGGCTGAACCAATCAGAGGTGGATCCTTCTGTGGCCATAATTTCCGCATGAAGGCACTCACTCTAGCTTTTATTTGATCCATGCTCTTATCTACTCTTATCAATTACAGGATACTTCAAGCGATTAACTGGAATGAAGCTTGTTTTGTTTTGAACATTGTGTCACGTCATTCTGCCATCATTAGCTCCTTAATTTTTAGAATGAAGAAAATCGCAATTTTTGGTGCCAGCGGGATGACTGGGCTGGTTACCACTGAGTATGCGCTGAAACAAGGTCAGTAAAAAAAAATTAGTTGCATCGTGCTGTTGATTTCCTCATGGGAAACACTTATGCGTCTACATTTGGAATTTGCTTCGGCCGAATGTACCCTTTGATCTCTTTTCTTGGCATTAATCTTATTTCCATACGCTAACTTTGATTGAGTGTGAACTTATCACTACTTGCCCTTGTTGTTGATACCGCACATTGACATTTCGATTCCACGAACTTACGAAGTAGGTAGATGATAACGAGTCCCAAACTATCTGGCTTGGATCATTTTGCAATACTTTAACCCTTAGGAGAGGAACTGTTTTGTACTATCTCAAAAGTATATGTACCTTCAAGTAGATGAAACCATTGGATTAACAGTAAAATTGAAAGGGTTTAAGTGAAATCCTGTAATTTTACCTGTGACATGCATCCTGCTCGCATAACCTAGAAGAAATGACAATACCAACTTCTCCTACCCGGCCAGTGGTTTTTGGTTAGGTATGCAAGACTCTTCTTAAAACACCCTGAGTCGTATGGGTAGGACATAAGAGGAAAGGTACCTTTCCCTAAGAAAGAAAGTCTAAGGATGGAATGGAATATTCACTCTGAGTTTCAGTTGGCTGACAAGCTGCAGACTTACGAGACCTCTTCATGCATTTTTTTCAGTCTGATATAGCCTGCACCAGTTAAGTTTACGCAGCTATAGACTGCAACAGAAGATCTGCCATTTTGATTCTGCAATTAATTTCCGAGAGAAAATGATGGCAGACGATCTTACGTTGCAGTCTATAAGTGCGTAAACTTACGTAACGTAGGCTCTAATTTTTCTCAAACAACTCATATGTAGGCTGGGAGGTAAGCAGTTCAATACTTATGAAACAGACACAGTGAAAGACAGTGAAAGTACCAGATCAACTATCTTGGTTTGCGATGCAGTAGATTTTCTGTCATACTTACTTTGTTCTCTAAGCGGAAAATTACTCAAAGTTAATTTTTGAAAACTTCCTTGTTTTTTCTTCTCTGTGTGAAGAAAACTGTGTGAAAATTTCAAAAAATTATATTGTTTTGTTCTCATTCAGGAAAGTAAAATAGGACTGGAGATTTTTAAACACCTTAAACAAGATACGTAGTGCGGTAGTTTTTCCGTTGATATGCTTATTTCATTACTTACTGAAACATATCAATTATCTTTTAACCCATCTTACTTTTTAAAGTCCATGTTTTCAGCGTAATAATTTCTTCTTCTCTCGTCAGGTTTTGAAGTAAGAGCACTACTGCGAGACCCAGAAAAACTGCCAGAAAGTCTCCGAAGTCAAGTTGAAGTTGTGAAAGGAGATGTTACCAATCTAGGCGATGTTGAATCAGCTGTCAAAGGCAGAGATGCCATCATTGTCACCTTAGGCACTCGAAACGATCTCAGTAAGAACTCAGGCTGCTATTTTATTCTTTCTTAAAGAAACACAGAAACAGGAAAATATACTTTAAGCACATTGTTTTGAAAATAAGCATCATGGACTCACCAGAGGAGGTCATGCTTTGAATGATTTTTGTCCTTAATGGAAGCTTACGTGGAACTTGAATCGACTTATCTCGGTGTTTTGACTACTAGACCCATGGAAAGCTTCCACAAACCCCATAAAAGCTCCGTATTTTGGACAGGAACCATTGTATGACACACCATCCACTGATGAAGTATGCCATGATAATTGAGGGGCTTGAACGATAAGGCGCAGAAGTGCAGTTTTTGAAAAAAATAAGATATTCATGAACTCAATTAAAACTAGTTCGAGAGTATACTCTGCGAAAAATTCTCAGCTAAAATCTAACTTTAAAGCATCAAAAAGTAAGTTTAAACTCCCTTTCTGCCATAAGGCTCCATGTAATTTTGAACCTTTAAACACGCATCAAGTGGGTCAAAATCCAATATTTTGAAGTATATTCGATTTATGACTGAAGGAAAATAATTAATATGAAAGAAGTGCCATTGACTTTTCAAATTAGGTTTCAATTTAACTTTCACAGTTTTTATTTACCTTTTAAAATTATATGAAAGTATCAAGAAGTTCAAGTTGAAATCGCAAAAATTTATTTTGGAAATGTGATTTTGATGTCCTTAGGTCCAACAACTGTCATGTCTGATGGATTGAAAAACATTATTCAAGCAATGAAGAAGCATGAGGTTTCAGTCATATCCGTTTGTTTATCAAGTAAGAAAAATTTTTGAAATTTTTTAGCCAAACTTTATTTATTGCGATAAATTTTGAGCTTTTACACATTGGTGCAAAGGCATTTTTCAGCAAAATTAATAGTAGGTAAGATAGGTGCACTGTTAATCACCAGTGGTTGACATACTCCCAAATCAAGATCTTCTTCATTTCTGAATTGAAGTGATAAATCAGGCACGAGCTAGAAGTAAAAAACATACTCTTGAAGTTTTGTAGGATCTGATGTTCATATCTCGTGGGCGGCTGCGCGCATCAGTAATTGCCTTCTTTCATTATGATGTGTCAACCACCAGTGGCTAACGTGTGTACGATAAACTTGTAATATTATTGCTATGATGAAGTTGCAATATTTTTACATCATTTGGTCAATGAATACTGATTTTAACCAATCAATATAATGAGTTTCATGAGAGAGGTAGGCCTAGGCACTATTCACTATGCAATACCAAAGAATTGCAACTTATTTCAATTTTGTCGCAATAAATTTCAATATGAAGAGTTCCTCAATTAGTAGAAAGACAACATACACACCATTCTGATACAACAGCAAAAATTTTGCCATGTGAAGGAAATTTATTGCGACCCGTTTTATTAGGGCTTAAGATATGAAAATGTTCCCCAAAGAAAAACAGGAATTTTTGCCTTCAGGGCTTAAGATATGAAAATGTTCCCCAAAGAAAAACAGGAATTTTTGCCTTCAGTCTAACCACAAATTCAAGGTAGTAACAAACGTTACATCATAGATCTCTCCTGAAGATCAATTCTGAAAGTGCAATATCGATTCCCATGTAATTTTGCTTGTAAAACAGTTACTTGAAGGCCAATTCAAGCCATTTTGAGATCAATGCAGTGCAAAAATGGATTGATTTTTCAGATTTTGACTTGTGCGGTACAGTTTCATGAGTAGATATTAAAAAAGCTCCAGAAGAATCTCATGTGTATACATGTGTATAGTGTAAATCAATGCACGATAATTCACAATTATGAATCATAGATTTCATTTGAAGAGGTTTTTGTTGCAGGTTTCATCTTCTTTGACCGTGAAAAAGTGCCCCCAATCTTCAATGAAATAAACGCAGATCACCTTCGTATGCTAGAAGCTTTACGGTCCGATGGGAGCACTCTCAAATGGATTGCAGTTTGTCCTCCGCACATTGCTGATACCCCATCCTCTCCGCACAAGATTAGCATTGGCTCCTCTGCTGGACGTGCCATTTCCAAACAGGATCTGGGGAAATTCTTTGTTGATGCCTTGAGCAAAACCGAATATTACAATCAATTAGTGGGAATCGCCACAGAAGTGCAGCAGTAAATATCAATTTTTCTCAGCTTTCTATTTACTTTTATAATGTTTGCTTTTCAAGGAAGTAATGTTTATTGGAGGTTTAATGAATTACTGCTTCTCTTCCCAGATGATATCTTTTCTTTGTAAAATTAAAGTGTTGAAGGAACAAAATATAACTCATTCTCTTATTTTTATGTGAAACCATATTTTTAAGAGAAGATAGGTTCATTCTTTTTTAAAGTGATTATATTTGTCCTCTCCACGATTTGCAAGAAATCATCTTTCATAAATAATTTGAAATGTCATTTTTGCAAAGATAGAACATGCAAGAGGCTACTTGAATCAAACCGTAAGTGAGGCTAAGTTAGTCGGTTTAATTTTAATTTACAAAAGGAAGAAATGATAACTATTAATTTTGGTCCTCAATCTAGGTTTAAGTAATGGTTAGGTTTATGTATGGTGTTGTAGACAAGACTGAAGCTTACAAGACAGTGCAGGGTCACTTAGCAGTTGTAGATTCATGTGCTGGTTTGTAATAAAAGTTAGAAGAGAATATTCTATAAAAAGTATTATAAAAGAGAATTGCAATTTCTAATTTTGACAGGGATCTGCTGGCTTCAGACTAGGCTCATCTTGGCATTGTTCTAATTGTTTCAAGCTAAGGTCTCTCCCCATTCCTTGTCTACCTGGCACTCTGTCTACATACTTGCAACACAAAATTTTTGGACTGATTTCAATGTTTATTTCCACTAATTTGGATATGGCTCGCAATGTAAATAAAACATATATTTCATCTTAAAAATGCACATGGGTCAGTTATTGTATCTTGAAACTAATAAACTTTATTTGATAAGCACTGAAGAGCTGAAAGGTTTTTATGGCACAATAACCTACTGATATAATTACTCATATTTGTCATCAGGATTGTTAGCTGAATCTAAATTCATGAAAATAAGAGGAGATTTGAGATTTGTCAATAAAATTAGTGCAGAAACTTTTTACTTCCAGTTAGGTAGAGAGCCAGGTTGGCAAGAAACTGGCTGGCAAGGACAGAACCTAGGTAGACCTAACTGGAAAAAATAAAGGGGTGGGGCTAGTCATGGGTCAGCAAGTCCTCGTCAAAATGGAACATCGCAATTCTCCATGTGCCTGAGGGTGCCCTTTTTTTACTCTATTTAACTTATTGCTCAGAGTGTTATATAACTTCACTCACAAAAATGCACACAAGGAGTCACAACTTGCTATGTTCAGAGGAGTATTTCATCACTCGGCACTTTTTTTTCACTTTTTGATTGTCTGAGCAGACTTACGGTGTAAATGATACAGATCATCATCTGCTTGATGCTTGTTATTTTATTATCTCTTTAAACCATGGAACTTGTGTATCATACTTGATTTGTTCTCTCCATTTATTGTATTTGTTATCGATTTTGAAAGTTTTGGAAATAAAGCTTTTAATTTTTTAAATTAGTATCTTACCTTGTCACAAGCAGCCAACCCATACTATGCACAGGACCAGTGGTCACTGATGCAAGTACAAGATTAAATTTATCAAAAATTTTCTTAAAAAAGGATTTAGAAGGAAATAAGTGTATCGTTATTCAATTAAATATGAAATAAAGTATGGATAAATCGCCCACCATTCTTAAATAAAAAGCTTAACAAAACAATTTTATTCGAGTGTGGCACGTATTTTCATTGTATTTAATAGAAGAGAGAAAACTATATTATCACTCCACAATGTTAACATGACCATGCAACCTCCAAGTAAAAATAAAAACGCTACTGCACAATTTAAATTTGAAGACACGTTCATGCATTATAATAGTTAACATTGTAGGCAATGGAGAATTAGAACACAAAAACTTTATTGCTTCATCTGAGAGTGCTTAGTGAGCTGAGATCGCAACAGTTTTCGTAATTTTTTCTCTTAAATTGGAAACAGGAGAAAAATAGATTTAAAACTGAAAAAATGTGGTCATCTGCTGGCAATTTCTATTTAAGCAAATTAGGTTATTTTGTCATGTTTCCTTCAATAATTGTTCAATTCAGAAATCGAGGATAGGTATCCTCGTGCTCAGTTTTCCTAGCAGTTTCATTTTAAAATTTACGAAATTCCAGACATCTGCCAATTCTCCATTGTTTCATGTTAACAAGCCAGACAATTTTGCAAGAAGGGTCTATCAAAAGTTAGCGCATATTCAGACCGCATAAAATGTTTTTTTTGTCAAGAATTAGGTGAATGAAAACACTTAAATCATGCAATTATGCTCGTAGAGCGTGCCGTAAAAAATCCAGCAAATGAAATCATACAGAGCGATTGGGCTCCCGCTCACCATGCTGGTTCAATGGTGAATTGTGATGAAATTACTGCACCTGCGAATCCAATTTAAATGTCTGCGTCTTGCAGATGTGCCGGTGACTATTTCAGACCGTGTTTGCAGATGCCGTGAATTTATTCCGATCCGTCAAATGAAATCTCACCAGGGGGGTTTTTAACTGAAAAAAAACAGCTAGTCGTTGATACCTACAAAAATGAAAAAGTTCAAAGTTCAAAAACCTACGAATGATTTAGTCAGAATCCAAGTTAGACAGTTTGCATATATTATTCCTAAATTGCAAGAAAATTTATCGAACTGCAATATCCCAAGAAGTTGCTCCGGGAATGAGCTTGTAGTCCTGCTCTACCCAGATAGCAGTGATCGCGATAAGTTGCGATTTAATCATGTGCTGCGATTTTTCGACGTTGCGCGTCGATATATTTCAATATTATCGAATTAAAAATTGCGATAAATTGCGATTTCATAGCATAAATTTGCAATAAAATCACAATTTTATCAACGGCGATTTATCGCAATGTCGTCGAACTAGAAATCGTTATAGATCGAGATGAAATTTCGATTTTGTCGAATACGATTTTACGGAGATAAAACTGCGACAAGATCGAGGTTAATCTCTCAGACGTTCGTGATCCTAGCGATTTCATCGCCAAAGAATCGTTAATAAATCGCAACCTACTTTTAAAAAATCGCGATTTTTCCGTTGAAAAATTCTATTTGCGAATTAAAACACTCAAAGCTGAAGGAGCGAAATAAATGTGTTTCTCCCGAATAGATACCCATTTGCGCTCGAGAGTCGCGCTGTGCGTTTGTTGCCTATACGGCGAAATGGAAGGCGATTTTGAATTGGACGATACCTGCCCAGCCATTAATTTACGCATTGGCTTTTGGTTCTATCGAAGTTATTGGGGCAAGATGCACATAAGTACTATGCGAGTTTTGGAACCGACAATTTAGAGACCACGTCATTTGATATTTAATAAATTCGATGGTTCCACTCAGAAACAAATGCCTTGATACCCATCGCTTATAGGGTGGCACAATTGAATGGCGCGCAGTAGACCGAGTCAATGGGAAAGGTCGGACAAAATTTGGAAACTTCAAACGCTTATAACACCGTTTATACAAAACTTTGAGGTTCTGAAAGTGAGTCCATTCGTTTCCTTGTGAATTTATCTTCCAGAAACACCCCTTAAAATTTAAAATGTGACGAAATAAACATCAAAATTTGCAGTTTTAATAGAAAAATTCATGTCCGACCTCTCTAATTGACTCGATCCACTGTGTGGTGGTGCATTGAGTGACATGGCCACCAAATCAGTCTGTAGATGTCTAGTCGCGGTCCGCGGTATACTTGTTGCCTACGCGGCGAAATTGAAGGCGAACCTTAAGTTGATAATATCATGCCAATAGGTTTACGCATTGTCTATTTGTTGTATCGAAGTTTATGAAGCGACTCGAGTTTTCCGATTGTATAACTTTATACCCCTCAGCGTTTTTTTTTTTTTGTGCCTGAACGGTGAAACTGACAAAATGCGTATCCCAGTTGCGGTGTTTCTAAATCTCCGCTTCCTATTTTGGTTTTTATTTAAAGAAAACCGAACTAACATCATGGCTTGAAAAATTCCCAGAATATTTACAACGGAGAGAAGAAAAGTCACCGAAGTTTTCAAAAAATGACTTCATCCCCCGAAATTATTACCTACCTGGATCCTCCTCGGTCCTTCCTTCTAACGAAACCTTGTGCGCGGAAAAAATATTGAATATACACTACTTACTTCGAGACAGCAGGGCTGGATTTACCTACTTGCCGCCCATGGGCCGCCTGTATTTTGCTGCCCCCTTCTCATTCGTTTTGAAACATCAATGAAAACCATCAAATGAACGTGCCAGCGGGGGAGGGGTGCATAAGACCTGTTTACTGGTGTTGAACACATTTTTTGGGAAAGCCCTGTCAACACCACTAGCAAAAGTTCACGGAACTTGGCGCGAAAGTTAAGTTTCGTAAACCTATCTCTGTGTGGACAAGGCCTTCCATTCATGAGAAATGAACGACAAAATTATAAAAGAACAAACATAAATGTGGATTAATGATTTTAACTTCCGCCGCCGCGCCTCGCAGACCGCACTGTGTTTGACGCAATGCGTGAAGTATTCCCGCAGTCTTGTAGGCGCTATGAGTCTCCCGCTGATCGCACTGTGTTTGCCGCAATGCGTGAGGTATTCATGCGTTCTTGTAGGCGCTATCCGTTTCACGCTGTCCGCAATGACCGCACCGTGTTTGACGCAATGCGTGAAGTATTCGTCAAGTCTTGTAGGCGCTAACATGTGTTACATGCCGATCGCCGCGCCGAGGGCTTCTCCTTTTCATATCAAGGCCTCGTCATCATTTCTTTTTAGGTAAGTCGCGCCGTTCCAGGCCAAATTGCGTGTTTGGTTTCTCTCTTAACCCGACTAATTAAAGGTTCTGCCTCTTGTATCACTGAAAGACGACAAAAGTAGAAATTACTATAATCTCAGAAAATTAGAGATTTTGTCACCTTTTCTCGTTTGTAATTTTGTTTCTAAATCCGAATTTTTTTCATACCTACATTTAAAAAAATTGCAAAATTTGCCGCCCCCTATAGATTTGCCGCCATGGGCCGCGGCCCATTTTGCCATCCCCTTAATCCGGCCCTGCGAGACAGAGGAGATATATTATCAACGAAAATGGTTCGATCCGAGGACTAAAATGATAGAAAAAACTTTACCTAATGGAGAAAAGATCCAATCTCCGCTCCGAGAGGGAGGAGGGGAGATAGTGAGAGGGGGGGGAGAAAGAGTTCATTCTAGGAATAAAATGAGAGAAGGAAACATGTTGTTTGCGTGTATGCCGAAAACTTCAGGATTTTTCTCAGGGAAATGAGAAACAATATAGCTTCTAAACAGCTTAAAAATGTGTCGTAAACTTGTAAAACTTTCAAATTTTTCCGAGCGAGCCCCCCCCCCCCCCCCCCCCNCGGACATTTTTTGTATTGTTTTGCGGTTTCCTCTCACAATCCCCAATCATTGGGCCCTGTGAAACCCCCTCAAGTGCTGTACCCAAGCGACGATACTGGTCTTATATCGTCACCTTCCGGCCAAAGTATCACAAGCACCATGCGATGTTTAAAAATTTCCTCCGCCATTTTATTTTTTTACAGAGACATTGTTCAACGAAGCTGTCCGAAAATTTCACCGAATTTTCTTTCTGCTGCCGATTAAATTCATTGAAATTTTCAAGCAGATTCAACCTACAATTTTTCTGTGCAATAATAAAATGGCGGTGGAAATTTTGAAACCTCGCGTGGCGCTTGTGATAGGGACTTTGACCGCACGGTGACGATATTAGCACTAAAAGTAGAAGGTTGGCCGTCCCATGGATCGGAGATGATACATGTGGCGAAACTCTTAGGGCGGCATGAATATGGACGTATTTATGCCCAACGTAACTATGTGCATCAAGACATGAACCCTGATACCCATAAGAATATATGCATAACAGGACTCACGTCATAATGCACATAGTTCTGTTTGGTAGAAATACGTTCATATGATGTGACCGGGAGCATCCCGTGGGAAATTCTCATCGTCGCTTCACAGCCCAATTCGCGCGCGCTCTCTCAGGAAAAATGAGAAAAGAGGATGGAGGAGAAGGGGAGGGGTTATCGCCAACGGATTCGCCGTTGTAAACTTTTCATAATCTATTATGTACACCAATTTTAGGACCATGAGTGGGAATGGAGACTAATCAAGGCAGTGGCGTGCTTTGCGATATATCGATCGATACGCCTCTCAAACCTATGAAAAAAGATCGATTATCAGGGTGTTCGCAGCGAACACCTTAGTACAGTGGATATCGGATATAACGACCTTGAAGGGACCAGCCATATTCGGTCGTTATAGCCGATAGTCGTTATAACCGATAGTGGAATTTTTACGCACGTACCCTATGTTGAAGAGCTGAGAACAAGGCTGTGCTGTATGTGGGATTCCAGGGCCCGGTGAATTTTGCTGCTGATTCATTATCTCTTCAGTAACACCTTTGTTTATTAGCTTTATCTAATTTTATTTGAATTGAATATTTATTTAATTCATTTATTTTTTTATTCTAGGACTAATTTTAATTAAACACTCTGCTTGAATTTGTAAAAAGAAGGTATTTTATAATATTGAGAATACATGCACTACACACTACATTATGTTTGCAATACATATGCGCAATACCGAAGAAGTATAAAACTTCTAATTTGAATAATAGTCCGTGATTTCTTTTTGCTTCACAATCGTGTTCGCGTACCCTTTTTGTAACGCTCTATGGGCCGAGCGTAAAGTGTGATAAAGTTGAATCGTTCCATTCTGGGTTCAAAATTAGGAATTTTTGAACAGTTGTGATGGCTTCTAGGGCGTCTGGAAACGAGATCCTCTCCTCTTCGGCCTCTGTTGCTGTCGCTCAAGTCGTTATAACCGATCACCACATCTGTTGGGACGCGAAAACTCCGTCGCTATGACCGATATGTCGTTATATGCGATGTCGTTATAACCGATACATAAATACATTGAATGAATGGGATTTCAGCCGGGACCGACCAGTTTACGTCGTTATGCCCGATATGTCGTTATAACCGATGTCGTTATATCCGATATCCACTGTAATCGATTCTTTACCATAGTTTCAAATGGCGAGATATCGATAATCGATCATTCACGCCATGCCACTGAATCGAGGCTATCTTTCTCATCCTCAGGTGAATTTTCAGCGTCTAACCAAAAGAAGGATCACGTCCCTAGTAGCTGTGATCACGATAGGTTGCGATTTAATCGGAGAATGTATCCCGATTTTGTTGATGTCGATTTATTGCAGCACTATCGGATGATAATTGAAATGAACTGCGAGTTATAAAACTGCGAATATAATTGCGAAACATAAATTCGCGACAAAATCGCAATTTCATCGATGGCGATTTATCGTGATATTATCGAACCAAAATCGTGAAAAATTGAGATAAAATTTCGATTTTAGCAGACGCCATTTTATAAAGATAAAATTGCGACAAAATCGAGGATAATCGCTTGGATGTTGATGATGATTTTGGTGATTTTATCACCAAAAAATCGTACAAAATCACAACTTAATTTCAAAGTACCGCGATTTTTCTGTTGAAAAATACTACCTAAGACGTCGCGCTGAAACCATCTGGCTTCAAAATCAGTGATTATTCTCATAGAATTTGTCCCGGGTCGGATTGAGAGTAGCGCATGAGGAACAGCCGCATCAACGACAATCAAATCAAGAGCGCTAAAGTGAGAGGAGATGAAAAGAGGAGGTACAAAATAATTAAGAAGAGGGGAAAGGAAGAGGAAGGAATAACAGAGAGGCTAAGAATGGGGAGGTTAAAGTTTGAAATGAAACCAAAGTTTGATCCCCTGCTATACAAGAATTTGCAATTTGCCGCCGGAGAATCCGTGATGAAAAATGTGTATACATTGGAGAAAGTTAAGAACAGGTTTGAAATTCAAAGTATTTTAGTTTTAAGTTGCCAAATTTCCCCGTGTCAAACATGAATTTTTGAGGAAATGTATGCATATTTTTCCTTGAACTTTTCAAGTATTTTAGATAAAATTGCAAACCAATTTGTCTGAAAAATTAGAAGAGTAGTATCCAAAATTTTCCCAATAAATTCGTTTCTCGTCGGAGGAAATATGGCAACGTCTGACGGCTCATACGATGTTCTTCCCAAGCGCCTAGCATGGCAGTTCTGGTAGGTGTCGTTCATCTAAAAGTTCGCCTTCAATTTTGCTACGTAGGCAACATACTTACCGGGAGCGCGAAAGGATACCGATCACATGAACGCACATTTATCTTGCCCATCAACTTTGATTGAACCAATGGAGGTATTAGCATTAGCAGATACCGTCCTTTTGAGAATCGCCTTCAATTTTGCTGCAGACGACAAACATAACTAAGAGCACGAAAAGTTATCCATTCCAAAAAGACACTTTTTTACCGCTCCATTAGCTTTAATTGAACTGATAAACGATATTGTGATCCTGTTGCTAGGCGCAGTCCATCTGAAGTTCGGCTTAAATTGTGCTTCATAATGTGATTTATTATTATCTCCTTTCCGTTAAACTAAGTTCGTAATAATGAAACGCAGCAAAAACGTCCCACAGGGCAGTTGAACGGTGAGCGGAATTTTATGAATGCCTTTCCCGCTGAGATAAACTTCCCATGCGAGTGATTTCTGTGCGACATGCGGCGGTTGATTTGGACGCATTCATGCGGAAATGATTCAAATCAAAAGGAACTATGTGGCACTCAAACCCTATGGACATAGCTCCTTTTGATCAAAGTAATTTTCTCGTAATTCCTTTCAGTGAGAATACGTCTGTTTGATTCTCATCGAATCATCGTAAGTGAGCCCTTTTAAATCTTCTAAATCGATGCAATAATTGTTGATAATTCAGCTCGTTGCAGTGCTGCTTTCACACTTCAATATAATGTTAGTGGAATCTCATTCGAAGAGATTCCATTGAAATTATTTTTTAGAAATCTCCAGGGGTGGAAAATGACTCTCATCTAGATATCTCAAGCGGGAATTTCTAAAAAATAAGAAAAAAAACACATATCTACATACACCAAAACTCAGTTTAAAGCGCCTCTGAGGTCTGATTCTTTAAGATGTACGTTTTGCTTTACTTCTCAGTTAATTTCCTTAAGGTTACGCTCCTGATTTATTATTATGGAGTATGATTAGATTCATGCGTGGACACACTGAAAAGTGCCAGGTTGGAACAAGAGGTGGCCCAGTGGCGTTAATGTAGGGAGGGTCCGCAATGGGCCCACGGCTCTATGGGGCCCAATCGTCTGCTGGAAATTTTAAATTTTTCTTCAAGTTTTATTCCCTTAATCGAGCCTGGGTTGAAGGGACCCAGGATACAATCCAGTGGCGTGGCGTGAATTGATATATATCGATTGTTATGTCATTTAAAAATATGGTAAAGAATCGATTATTAAGGTGTTCACTGCGGACACGCTGTTTATCGATCCTTTTCCATAGGTTTAAATGGCATAACAATCGATACATCGCAAAGCACGCCACGCCACTGGAATACAGTCATGCGGGTGGGCTCGCGCTTTGTGAGTTACGAGGGGTAGGCCGAAAGGGATGGTAGTGTCATTTTGATTGAAGTGCGTAATTCGTCGTGTCCCGGACGAAGGAACACAACTTTATTCCAAGGTTGCCAAATTGACTCAAACATTTAAGTTATTTTACAAAAATATACCTCTGCGCATATGCAAGCTTTATCAAAGATTTTCCTGATTTTCGGATGAGATCCGAGGAAAAATTGGATGAATTTTGCCCACGATTCTCCTGGTGTATGTGCAATCTGCGAGCGGAAATTTGAGAACATTGAAATGGAGTTGCGTTCTTTCGTGAGGGGAACGATGATTTGTAGCGGACAACACACTGCGCGCGCAAATTATGACCAGGGCCGGATTAAGGGGGTGGCCACATGGGCCGTGGCCCATGGCGGCAAAATTAGGGGGCGGCAAATTTTGCCATTTTTTTAAATGTAGGTACAAAAAAATCGGATTCAGAAAAAAAATTACAAACAAGAAAAGGTGACAAAATCTCCAATTTCCTGAGAGTTCATTACTTTCTAATTTGGTCGTATTTCGGTGATACAGAAGACTGCGCACCTTTAATTAGTTGAGTTAAGAGAGGAACCAAACACGTAATTTGGCCTGGAGCGGGCGGCGCAAAGAGAAATGATGACGAGGACTTGAGATGAAAAGGAGAAGCCCTCGGCGCGGCGGTCGGCATGTAACACATATTAGCGCCTACGAGACTGCATGAATACTTCACGCATTGCGTCAAACACAGTACGGTCAACAGCGGTCGGCGCGGCGCGAAATGTACAGTGCCTACAAGACTACATGAATACTTCACGCATTGTGCCAAACACAGTGTGGTCAGCGCGGCACGGCGGCGGAAGTTAAAATTATTAAACCACATTTATGTTTGTTCTTTCTTAATTTTTTAGTTAATTTCTTACAAATGAAAGGCCTTGTCCCCACAGAGATAGATTTACGGATCTGAACTTTCGCACGATGTTCCGTGAACTTTTGCTAGTAGTGTTGACAGGGCTTACGCAAAAAATGTGTCCAACACGAGTGAACGCATCTTATGCACCCTTCTCCCTCTGGCACGTTCACTTGCTGGTTTTTATTGATGTTTAAAAATGAATGAGAAGAGGGCGGCAAAATACAGGCGGCCAATGGGCGGCAAGTAGGTAAATCAGGCCATGATTATGACTTGAAATTCTTAAAATTTAGAGCATTATCATCTAAAAAAGAAATTGGTTCTCTTGTGTGTGGGGGTGAGAGTGTGTGTATTTTGTTTTTAAATTAATTTTTTGCTACTGAAAATTGCGAGCTTGCATCTTTTCAAAACGTATTGGATTCACACGTCGATACATTGAATAATCACAGGAGGGAGAGGGAGGGGAGAGCCGAAAGGGGATGGAAATGTCATTTTGATTTAAGTGCGTAATTGTCGCGGACAACTCACTGCGCGAACAAATTATGACTTGAATAAACAAAATTTTATTTAGAGCAGCAGCATCTAAAAAAGAAATTAGGTTCTCTTGTGCGTGAGGGTGAGGGTGCGTGTTTTTTTAAAATCAATTTTCAGCTACGGTACTGAAAATTGCGATCTTGCGTATTCGCACTTTTTCAAAACGTATCGGATTCACGCGTCGATACACTGAAAAATCTGAGGAGGGGATGGGGAGGGGAGGGCCGAAAGGGGATGGAAATGTCATTTTGATTTAAGTGCGTAATTGTCGCGGACAACTCACTGCGCGGGCTTGCAACTGGATGGCACGTTCCAAGGAGAACGGATTGAGGTTTTAAGAATGAATGGTCGGGGAACGTGCGCGCGTACTCGGCGAGCATCGCCAGCCCCCCTCCGCCACCCCTCCCGCCTCGGGGCCGGAGGGGTGGAGGGACGGAGCCGTCGGGCGCGGGGCAGGACGGGGTCCTCGGGAAAATCGATAGCCAGTGACGTCACGGGCCCAAGTCGTGAAATTCATTTCGTTGAGAGGCGATGAAGGCATGGGGCGAACTACACATGGCGCCCTTGGTTCTTTTTATTTTTTTAAGTTTGTCCTCATTTAGTGCGTATGTCGCGGGTGAAATTTTCACGAACTCATTTCTGGTGAGGTTACACGGGAGCCCCGGGAACGATGTCGCCAACTTGGTGGCCGCCAGGACCGGATTTGAAAATTTCGGACCCGTGAGTATCCGCTTGCACTCAATATGTCTAATTTGAATCCAATATTGTCGTATTTGTTTCGTGTCTGGAATCGCCCCACATTCTTATTGATGCTGATACCCTTCTTTAACGTCGTCTCCCACCCTAAACATCGCTTCTATTTGGGCGAGCGACCCGACTATTGGCGCAAAATTCATCAATACTGTTCGCTCAAAGCTGTGAAACCATGAACCATTGATCTAGGATAAGTCGCTCTAATGAACAATTTTCCTCTCAAATTTCGATTGGTTACTATGCAAATGTGACCGAGTCATCCTAGGGAAAATGAGAACATATAGTTTGATAGTTTTTTTTTTGTAGTTCGAATCCAGGAAAAATACAGTACCTAGTTTCATCCGTCCATTTTTTCACATTTGTCGTCTCGAACGCAAAATGACCATACGTTGGGGAGTCCCAAAACATATGCACGTTTTAGGCCGTCATGAAATTACGAATTTATTTTTTTGATCCCCTTCATCTTCGTTCAGTAACCAACAACGCAGGTCCGAGCCCCCTCTAAAAAATTTACTGCCTGCTGGCCTGAATTGATTCCCTTTAATGTACAAGTCCCTCATAAAATTTATGGAATTTCACAAATTTTTCGGCAGTTTATGACAAAGTGCCCAAAAACAAAAATTCAATAAAAATAGCGACGAACAGGATGCTTTAAATTTTCTCTATTGTATCTAAAATGGCTAACTGACGAAGTATGCGTGGTCGTCTACTGAAATAAGGACCTTAGTTCACAAAAAAACTCAAAATTAAGCCATTGGTATGAGGCCATTGTACAAAAAAGCATGAACTACATGTACATTTTTGGATAGAAAAAACGTCTTTAAATGTCCAACTATATTGGAGTAGTGATAGTTTAAGCTTTTCAAAAAACTTAGTATGGAGAGAAAGCTGTGAGAAATTTTAATCTGCCACGTCCGCGGGACGAAATTGCCTCATAATTCTTTACGACACAAGTTTCCACTTCTATTGCAATAAAATGAACTAACCCTCTCGTGACTTATCCGTCTATTAGGACCAAAATTGTCGACACACTAACTTGGACAATTAATATTAGGTACATCAAGAAACAGGTTATGTACATAAATATTACAATTTTTTTTTCTCTTGGATGTTTTCTCAACAAATTTACAATTTTGTTTTAAAATTTTGATGAATTTTAAGAATCTTGAATGTGCGTGTTGCATATTAAAAATTGGAAAAAACAACCGCTTTTAAGAGGCTTTAGTTGGCTAAGGCGCCGTGATGCAACTATTCGTGTTCTATGGATGCGCGTGTTGCATGTTTAGAAATTGAAGGCACTTTTGCTTTCCTCACTTCTTCAGAGAAGCACGGGTGTTGTGAGTTGTTGCATCCGAATGGCAGAGTGACCATGTAGGAAAAGTATTGCCTCCTCAATCCTTTTACTATCAAAAAAAGAAGCCCGTTCTGTGATTGGTCGACGCAAATAATGACAGGGTTCAAATTAAGTACTGCAGTTTATGTCAACTTATCGATATTTTACGTAGAATGTGATGAACGCATTAAGCAACTTTCCAAATTTAACTCATTAGTCGTTTTTGTCTACGTTCATTAACACTTTCCGCGCTCAAAAAAGCCATAGTCTACTCGAGTCAAATTGAGCACTAAGCAAATTCCGGTACATTTTGCAATGGAAGAATTTTCCTGTGATAATTTTTTTTCTTTTTTTTTTGGATAAGATTAAAGGGAATTTACATCTGCGGAAGAGGGACAATCGTATAAAACCAAGCACTAGTTACATATTTGCCTGAAGTGTATGGATTTATTTCAATGTCAAATTAACCCACATTGATTTAGGTTTTTTCGCGAGCGGGAAGTTTGAATTTACATCTGATATATAAACTACAAACGGGGTTTTCACTTTAATGAGTCAATTTTTGAAGATTTCAATATATTCAACGTGTTCTGCATGAAATTTGATGAGAATTAAATGTGCTGTAGTGCTTACTCTTTTTACTTTATGTTTGATGGTCTGTAGCAACGGTTCCCAACCGGTTGTCTTTATAAAATGTACAAGTTATTTAAATGTTTTATAATAGTCTTTGCTATTGGGGCAGTGTAGTCATATTACTATTTATGAAAAGGGATCTAAGTACAAACGTATCCAAATCCATAGTTCTTGAAAACAAAACAAATCCCAAGTATCATCTTATTTTAAATAGAGCACGAGAGCGAGGCCTTTAATTCAAACAAAGCACGGGTGAAAGGGGGGTGGGTGGCGTTTACATAAAAACTAAACCAAACCATCATCTCTAAGGAAATTAAGGATGCTCAAAAACATGATTGGTTAAACCCACGAAGAAAGACCACTCATCTCTTGCCCCTCCATTCGCAAGCCCATTCATGAAGGATCACCCTTTCCAGGTAAACTCATTTACCGGAGAAATGCAGCTCAGCTAGCGCACGGCGGCGCGCAGTGGGACGAGTCAATATTTGGACATGATATGAAAATTTTAAAAGCTCATATCTTATTTAATACAAAGCGTAGAAGTTTAAAAGTGGCTCCATTGAATTTCTCGCAACGTTTTCCAAAGGAATGACTCCTAAAAGTTGAGAATGTGACGAAATTAACACAAAAAAATTGGCAGTTTTATATAACAAATTTCACGTCAGACCACTCTAGGGGTCGCACCACTGTGCGACGTGCCTCACCTCGAGTCACGTAACTGAACCAAGGGAGGCTCAAAGCGAGAACAATCTTTCAATACCGTCCGGGACGCAACCACCGTCCCTTCGCGCCGCCCCGCGGACTGTCCTCATCCTCGCCGCAAACGAAGGAAGAGAAATGTGAAATATGAAGAGAGATGCAGGCTCACCTCGCCAACTCCATCTCACCAACCCCCCAGCCATAACACGTGCAAAATGCATCAAAATTGTGCAGCTTATTTTCCATTACCTGTACAGTAACACCTTTACCCTAGGACTGTACAAAAAGCTTGAGACAGAATATGCATTTGAGAAGCAGGGGGAGCACCGTCCCTTCCTTTAAGAGGTAGTTTTTTGGCATAAGGTGGACAGATTTTAAACTTTTAGGTATCAGTTTAAATTGAAGCTCTTCGCACTATTTAAGTGTGATGGAATCCATTTTTTAAATTCGTTGGGGAACTCTGACTCTCACGATCAGCCCCCCCCCTCCCCCCTGTTCTCTCCTAGGAGCGCTGAGGGGCTTTCGGAACCGTTAGTCCGATTATTTATGGTCCACTCCTTATTCAGTCCCCCCAGTCACCAACATCGTCCAACGTGAAAATAACCGGGGAAAAAACTTGGCACGGGCGCCTGGAGCACCCTGTATAATCTTAATAATGTCCTATCGTTATTTAAAAGTATTTATTCCCGATTAAACTGATGATATTGACCGTCAGAAAATAAAAAAAAGTATTGACTGAAGTTTTGTTTTCTTTTAATCATGATGAACTTCGAAATATTAGCATCTTTTAATAGTACAAAATGTACCCTGGTAAAAATTGGCGATAAGAGCTGCGTTTCAAAATACCATAGGAATTCTAATAGCCGGCTAAAGAAGGCTACAGAAAATCATATAGCTGGCTTTAGAATGCGGAGAAAATCATACGGCCGGGCTATACAAAGCGATAAAAAATTATGCAGCCGGGCTATAGTTCCTACCGCCGGGCTTTACACTTTATCACCTGGCTGTTGCTTTTTTGCCATCGATTATAAAAGGCTATACGAAATTGTGTAGAAATTCGTGAGCTTTGGAAATCATTAAGTTTGATACGGAACCACTTTAATATTTACAAAACACACATTATATTTTCCTTTAATATATACATATTTTTTTTTCATCAATTAAAATGAGAATAATCCATACAGGATGTGCAAACATTTCAAAATCATGAGTTGAAAAACGCTGACTCCGCGAGTTTAGATATTAGAGCCTAACACAAAGCGGAGCGGCGACGCACTGGCGCCTACAAACCTAACAGGGATACTTCACGCATTGCGCAACGCGTGAAGTATCCCTGTAAGGTTTGTAGGCGCCAATGCGCGTTTTGCGCTGGCTGCCCGCCTGCCGCTCCGCGCCGCAGTGAGCCGCGGCGCTTGAAGCAACTATTTCACACCAGAGGTATTGCACAGTATCATACGAAACTGAAGGCGCTCTAATATATTAGGAATGGCAGGCATCCGTCAAAAGTACGGAGGTTTCCTTGCAAAATAAATCAAGATACTACGGCCCAAAAAGAGAGCAGAAGTCCAAAAACTCACCGAGTCCTAGCATCCGTAATTAGTAACGTTCAGCATACACTTTATCACCTGGCTATTGCTGAATCGCCATCGGCTATGGGAAATTGTGTAGCCGGCTATAGAATCTATTGGAAATCTTACAGCCGGCTGTAGGTCTATGGTATTTTGGAACAAAGATTCTACTGCCAATTTTTACCAGGGTAAATTTTCCAACGCTATGCTGCCAAAACGGACTTTGAACTCAAGCTGATGTTTATATCAGAGGGTCTCATTTTAAGAGGGACAGATTTGAACGAGATATCTGCGTTGCCAAAAAAGGGGCACAAAATCGCCCCTTTTTGACAGGCTGGTTTCGGTTCTAATCGATTTTCCAATCTAGTGGCCGGCTTTGGACGATTCAACCATTTGAATTGGGATAAAGTTTTTACCTAACGCAAAGTAGATATACTTTTAGTTACAAGGTAAGCATGATAATGGTAGGTATGTATTACCTAATACAAGCCGAGTATTTCTCATTTATGAAAACCCCGGTTTGCATAGATTAACACTTGGGTACCCAAGCCAACGCCGTGAAGGGAACAGAGAAGCAGAAAACGGCCCGAAGAAAAACACAGAGAATCGAATGGAAATTCAAATTAGGTTTTCATGGCTTGCTATCTTGTATTTTATTTTGCCTAATAAATTTTTAGTATTTAAACTGCCTCATGAATAATTTGGCCGTTCGTCGTATCCTTTTTGAAGCTGTTTACGCGCGGGCAGTCCTTAATGTTATTATTTTGCGCCCGCGAGAATTCGTATTCGAAAGTGGCGTAGCGTGAATAATCGATTATCGATATCTTGCCTTTTGAAACTATGGTAAAGAATCGATTACTAAGGTGTTCGCTGCGAACACCCTGATAATCGATCTTTTTTCATAGGTTTAAATGGCATAACAACCGATATATCGCAAATCACGCCACGCCACTGGTATTAGAGGAACGGTGTTTGGAATTCAAGGGACGTCCATTCAATTTAGCATTTCTCACAATGTTATTGAAAAGGAAACACCGAGATTGAGTGAGATGCTGCGTTAATTTTCCGTTGCTGTACCTAATGAGAAGTCGGCGGGAAAGATAAGGAAAGGAAAATGGAATGTTATTAGCTCTCTTTTTTTGCAATTCATTTTATTTTCTTACTCCTTGCAAAATTAATACTGACATAAATTTCAAGAGAAGTTTTGAAATAAAAAAGATTGTGGCTTGTGGCTACTTGGGTAATTTACTTTCTTCATTATGTCGTCTTCATCAAATCATGCCGTACTCGGTTCTACAATTGTAACGTCCACTGCATGGCAGAGTTTTTTATTATAGTTTTTCGAGGGTAGGGGTATAAGTATAGGATAAAGGTATAAGAGTGAATCATGAATGTTGAGTGTAATTCTATTTCGTGCGAATTTCCATGGCTCTTTGAGGGCCTTGGAGGATAAGGTGCATAAGCTAGTGCAGTTTTGGAAAAATTGAGGTATACATGATTTCCAGAAAACTAGTCTTAATGCATATTCTGTGAAAAATTCGCTCCATAATTCCAATTTTTGAGCATCAGAAAGCCAGTTTTCTCTCCGCCATAAGGATTCTTGTAATTTTGAAGCTTTAAATACGTATTTCTCGAAATAGCAAAAACTGCACTTATGCTCCTTGTCCTCCAAGTCCCTCAATTATTTATTTTGTTCCCCTCATGTACTTGACCCGAGGACCACGGATTGCGTCTGTGGATTTTTTACTTAGCGGAAAGTGGCATATACCTATAAAACTAAATAACCATACAGATAAAAAAAAAATTGAATACACCGGTGAGTTTATTTTGAACTTTAGATGTAAGACAGGAAAGCATCGATATGCTTACTAAACCCGCTTCTATTCATGTGGGTATCTTTAACAATGACTCAGGAATCTCGACCACTACGGTGTGTTGCTCACCGGAAGATAAAGAGGATGAATGAAGAGGAAGAAGGAAAAGAAAAATGAGAAGAAAAGAGAAAAAGGAGGAAAAAAATTGCAGAAAAAGATTAAAGTATGAAGAGGAAGAAAAGATAGAGAGGAAGAAGACAAATGGAAGAGAGGGAAGAAGGAGGGAAAAAGGTAAAAAGGCATCATACAACTATATGCTTACTCGGATTATACAAGAAATAGCTCTTTATCAAGCGGGAAAAGATAGTATTAACTCCATGTCAGTTCGCCTTCAATTTCACTGTAAGCAACCCGAGCTCCTACGTGGTCGAATAGTGGTATCATGCTCCAAATGATGGTCAGACGGTCTTAGTCGGCGAATTCACTGGGGTGTCCAAAAGCGATTTATTTTCAACGGTGAACATTGAACTTTAAAACATCAATGAATCCGTTTGATATCTAATTCTCGACTATTTTTCTGCCGTGCTGATGAAGAACGCCGTTTAACATTCAAATGTCGCCAAATTTCCCACGAAGAAAGTTCATTTTTAAAGTGAGTTACGATCACTTTGCCTTCAAAATTTCAATTCTTTCAGATTAAATTGCGACAAAAATCGTCTGAAAAATCTTCGCAAGTCTCCTTGAATAGCCGTGTTTCTTCGACGGAGATTTGGCAACGTCTGAAGGTTCTTACGGCGTTCTTCCTTAGCATGGCAGTAGTTGGTCATGTGCCATCTTGAATCATTCTGTGTTTTAATCGTTTTTTTGTTGTCTGTTTTTTTTATTTGACTTTTTTACTTTTTATTTGTATTTTTTTAAGAACAAACTTTTAAGTGCAGAGTACCCTAAAAATGAACTGACGAGTACATTACGATGCAGCAAAACTTCCTATTTTGGACTCCTGTATTCATTACATATCGATAGTGATAAGTTCGACTTCCGCCATCAAGACACGTCTTACGTACTCTCTGAGCGCAGAGTGATAAATCGATAAAATGTACCAGGTTCGCTTGTCAAACTAACTAACTTTCATTATGTTGCAGGTTCTTGGATCACTGAGGGAGTTCCATTTTAAACACAGAGCTCTGCCTCACGCAAGAACTAAAAGGAGTATTCCTCATACCAGACGATTGAAAATCGATCCCTTAGTAAGTTGTTGCAATCAACTTGTCAAAGTAATTGCCTCTCATTCCTGGTTGATACCTCGTTTATCAATCTATTTAGCTGCAGGAGAAATTTGCTGTAGAATACTCAAGGACGTCGTTCTGAAGATGCGATATCGAGTGAATGAGACACTCAATTCACAGTTGCGTAGTCAGAAATTTTTCATGGAGGGGGGAGTCTAAAGGTCCATAAAAAATTCCTGAAAATCACGAAAAATGACATTTTTCAAATGCTCCTGGTCAACAAGCGAGGAGGTCCGGGCTATCTGACCCTCCCTCCCCCCCCCTCCCACCGACGACGTCACTGTCTACATACAGAACATTGTTGAGTCACCGGGAATGAAAAACGTTCCGCTAAAGATTGAGAGGTCTTAAAAGAATCTGTAATGATCCAGGGTTTTGTGTTAGCCTTATGAGCCCTATATTTGAGTGAAATGTAGCTTATCTTACAAGAGGCAAGAGGAAATTTCAGCTGTTACGGTCCAAAACTTCAGTAAAACTTTACTTTTACACTGTCATGAGCCATACTTAAAAAAGTTTATGACTACTTTAATCATTAAATTTTAATATATTTTGAACTATCTACTCATGATAAATATATGTGTATCATTATTCGTATAGATATTGCATAATTAACTGACTTAGTCAGTCGAATTTATCAGTCATAGTCATTAGATGAGTATATATATATCTCGTGGTGCCTTAATCTGCCCTTTCCTGGGAGCATTGGCTGCTTACAAAAAAAAAAAAAAAAAAAAAAAAAAAAAAAAAAAATGAAAAAGATAAAAGAAAACGGGCAGATCTATAAGCACAGAACTATATTCTGCGGTTTATTTAGTGTTTAGTAGTAAAAAGAGTGGTTTTTAGAATCTATAGAAATTCGATGCCAATATTTTACAACTTTTTTTAACGCATATTTCAAACATATTCAGTGGCGTGGCGTGAATGATCGATTATCGATATTTCCCCATTTGAACCTGTGGTAAAGAATCGCTTATTAAGGTGTTCCTTGCGAACACCCTGTTAATCGATCCTTTTCCATAGGTTTAAATGACAGATCAATGGATATATCGCAAAGCACGCCACGCCACTGAACATATTTTACTTAAAAAAGAACAAAAAAGGTTTTCTATCTCGTATGTACAATATTTTTACGTTTCATGAAAGTTCCATATGAACAACCAATGCTCTGCCAGGTCTATTTAATGGCCCATTCTCACCTATTTAGAATACGATTTTGATTGTATCACTCATAATTTCAGGTACATACAGCAGTGCAGCAATCAGGGTTTAAAAGAGTGAAGCGGGGATACAAACCGTTAAAAGTAGAAAATTTAGTACCACACATTTCCCCTCATGAAGATCCCACCGATCCATTTTTTCATCTTCAATGGTACCTGAAAAATACCGGGCAAAATGGAGGGAAGGTCAAACTGGACTTGAACGTAGAGGCCGCCTGGGCCCAAGGCGTCACTGGCAGGAATGTCACAACTGCGATCATGGATGATGGTAAGTACTGTCATAGCAGCTATTTTACTCAAAGTAAATTTTTCAATCTAATTTTTTTATCAGTCGCCCCGTTTAATACACTAACTGGGAGTATTCAACCAAGATCGGCCTAAGTGCACTGCCGTGCTAACGAAAAACGCCGTATGAACCTTCAGGCGTCCCCAAATTTCCTTTGATAAAACACAAATTTCTTGGTAAACAGATTATGAATATTTCCCGTCCAAATTTTCGAATAATTCTGTTCGCAATTTCACCTAAGGTCCCTGAAAATATCAAGGAAAAATAATCATAACTTTCCTCAACAATAAACATTTTATCGAAGGAAATTTGGCAACTCTCGAATGTTCATACGGCGTTCTTCCTTAGCATGGCAGTACATCAGACGGTGACTTTTTTTCGCTAATGCTTTATTCTTAAACAGAATCTTGAGCCACGTCTTCTGAAGGAAAACTTAAGAAGAAACATTTAATTGATTTTAGTATTGAAGAATAACCAAGGTGATGTAATGATCGTTTTTTATTAATTTACTTAGGACCTTTCAGCATTTCGCCATCTTCAGAGTACAGTCATTAATACATAAATATATCACAGTTATTACACTTTCGTCCTAAACTTAATAACACACATCAAGGCACATTATACAAATAGTCTTAATTACGAGAGAGTCAATATAACCTAGCCAAAAGATCCGATCATTACATCACCTTGGTTATTCTTCAATACTAAAAGTAAATATGGTGTTGTTCAAATCAAACTTTATTAATTGATTTTTGTCAGCACCTTACCTGAGATTTTATGTAAGGAACTTGAGGCCGGCTAGGGCTCTTTTTAAACATTTAATTAATTTGTTTTTTATGAACAATGATCCAATTCCATGTTTCTGAGGCAATCAGTAACGAAGACCTTTATTCCACAACCTTTTGGTCCTTACATATCGGCTCGTAGATTGATGTAAACCTCTAATTGAAAACTCTAACTCTTAACGCTTTAACGCTAAAATAAATATATTGTAATGCACGCTTGAACATTTTTTCCTGAAGTGTCCATGAAATGACTGCCGCATCCGACGTTCTTAAGTCAGTTAGTGGAAGGCTGCAAGAGCTGCACCCTTATTTTAGACGTTGAAATACAATTTAACAAAAGAAAGCTTTTTCCGGAAAATTGACAATTTCGCGCTGAAAATCAGTATTAGTTTACTGTATCACACAATGCTCAACTCTGGATCAAGTCCACAGTCCAAATCAAGTCCAAATAACAAGCAAAGCGCTCTCAGTTACTTTTTCGTGCGATGAACACGAAACGAATTTCATTCCAACGCCTGGATGTAACTATTTGACCATCATGTTTCATTCGTTGCATACGCGCGGAAATGATGGCGTTTTAACTCTCCATGCACTCACACTCATATAGCATCATCCTCGGTGGTCCGGCGCGGCGGCGGGCTTTTTATATTGTGAGGATCCAGAAGGATAGGTATTGTCTTAATTATATATGTATTGAGTAAACCAAGACGGACAATCGAATGAACAACAAAATGTTACAAGTTTGCATCATTTCTTTGCCCTCTCTCAGTTTGTCTTGGATCCGTAAAAGGGACAGAGGGATCAAACCGGGTACTAAGATTAATGTGAAGTTAGTCGATATCTTCGCAACTTTGCAAGTGAGACCCATCCCTGAGACAAATTTTTTGAAGGACAAGGCTGCAGGAGTGAGGAATGCTTCAATTTTGATACCGCGCGGTGTGTTGAGCGTGATTTGTGGAGCAATTACCTATTCGTGTTGAAGAGAATCTTTTCAGCATCTTTTCAAGAGATGTCTTCGTAGTGTGAACGAAGAATTGTAGGTGCTCTGCCCTAAATAAGCCCTATAATCCTCGCAGTACAGGCGCGGCAGGCCACGACCACGGCAACGGTTACCTAAAAATCGGCTAGTGCCTGGAGATTCAGAACGCCTTCACTTGCGTGCGTATGCAACACTGACATCCATGAAGCTCGAATAGTTGCATCCAGGCGCCTTATGATAAAATTCGTATGCTCGTCGCAGTTAGTACTAACTGAGGGCGCTTTCGGTGTTTCTCTCACACCTCCATTTGATTTCAGCGTTGCCTATTGCGCCGATAAATCGAAGCATTACTGCTTTTCTTTGCGATATCGTCAATTCTCCGAAAAATGCATTGTACATGGCCACGATCTGCAGAATTTTCTTTAAGCTGTTTTAATGAGTCGTCCTTTGTTCCGATTATTTCTCGCTTTTCAAAAAATATATTTGATGTTTAAGTGCTAAATTTTCAAAGAACAATTTTAATAAATGGCGCGAACTTTTAATGAATAACGAAGACCGTTGTTCTTTCGATAAATGGCATGCGATAGAAAATCTGAGACATCACAAGTTGAAATATAGATATCTGATTTTCTAGTTTCAGTGGCAAGACTGTCACACGATAATTCTAATAAATATTTTTTAATGCAGTTTAAATAATTCGGAAATATTTGTTTAATTTTTTATAATGTTCTGATCTTTCTCGGGTGAAATGTGATCTGTAGTCCCTACTTTCTCCACGAGAAAGAGGAATGTGCTAGACTCGTTTCATGGACACTTCTGAAAAACTTTTCGAGCAAGAAATCCATTCTAGGTATCGCAAAATAGTTAAAATAACTCTAGTCAGAAATGTACATCAACCTACAAATAGTTCGGAACCCATAGTGAGGCATGCAGGACCCGAAGTTCGTAGAAAAATGTTTTACGTCACAGATTGCTTTAGAGTCATTCGATCGAAGCACCAGTAGACTGGGCATAATACAAACGAATCAAGTACAAAGTACACAGTTAGAGGATGCTAGCCTAAAGATTTTCGCATAAAATCCTCAGTGAGGAGTTGACAAATATCATGTATACTGATTGCCAAAATGCGAAACTGTTTACTTCCGTCTACGACGTTACAGACTTTCCTCTCAAAAAGCATCCCTCAAAATTAAATTTGTGACGAGATAAACGTACAATTTCAAAATTTTTGTCAAAAATTTCATGTCCGACTTTTTTCCAAAGACTCGTTTCACTGTGCGTCCTTTTAGAGATTTGCGCTTTCGGGTGCCGTCCGCTCAAAGTCAGCATCAAATGCAAGTGCAGTGTCGTGCGTTTCCCAGCGAGGAAACTTGAAGTGCAACTTATCAAGTCTCTTCGTCTTGAGAAATATTCGTCTTTCTAGTTCGTAGGGGAACTTGACGGCTGGTAGCTCCTACGCAATCTCCACTATTTTCCAATGGATAGGGTAATTTTTTGCGGTTACCCCGTTACGTCAGTGTGATAATAAATCGTCACCTTCCGCAAAAGTATCACAAGCACCATGCGACGTTTCAAAATTTCCGCTGGCATTTTATTCTTTCACAGAGAGATTGTTGGTTGAACCTGTTTGAAAATTTCAATAAATTTTACCGGCAGCACGAAGAAGATTCAGTCAAATTCTCGAACAGCTTCGTTAAAGAATTTCTCTGTAAAAAATTAAATGGCGGTGGGTATTTTGAAACATCGCATGGCGCTTGTGATACTATTGTAAAATGTAGTCCAGGGTCACCTCTTACCTTCAACCGACCAAAACATCTCAGAATCGGCTGGCAAATCCACTCAGCAAAGACGACGGCACTATAGAGGTGAAAACTCAATAGGGGTTTTCGGGTTTTAGGACATTTCGTCAACGATTTTTTGTCCGCGCACCTTTTTTGTCCAGTAATTTACGTCCACGCGTTTTTTCAGCACGGGCATTTCGGTACACGTGCCAGTTGAGACCCAAGGTTAATTGGCCCACATGTAAATACAAACGACAATTGCTCACTACGATTGTGGATGAAAATGTAAAATGTCTTGGAAGAATGAGGGTTTGCTTGTTTTTTTTGTTTTGTCTGTTTGGTCCAACGGAGAATAATATATAGTTGAGAGTTTTGGTAAAAATGGGGGCGTCAATTCCATGAGACAAAATTCACTAAAACTCTCTACACCTCTTTGGTGTGACAGGACTTAATTATCTTTCAAGAAATTCCCACCTTGTTATACCTGAACCGGATAAACCTCTATATTTGCCTCAGTTAAAGGCTCTTAGATTTTTCCTGTGTATAATGAGTATCTTGATTTATTTTGCGAGGAAAGATCTGTACTTTTAAAGGATGCCTGTCATTCTTAATACGTTCAATTTCGTATAATACTGTGCAACACCTCTGTTGTGAAATAGTTGCTTCAGGCGCCGCCGCACGGCGGGCGGGCGGGCGGGCGGCCAGCGCGAAACGCGCATTGGCGCCTACAAACCCAAGTGGATACTTCAAGCATTGTGCAATGCGTGAAGTATCCACTTAGGTTTGTAGGCGCCAGTGAGCCTCTCGCGCTGGCAGCACGCCGCTCCGCTGTGTTAGGCTTTAATATGTATACTCGCATAGTAAGCGTTTCTTAACTCATGATTTTGAAATGTTTGCACACTCTGCATTGATGATTCTCATTTAAATTGATGGGAAAAAAATATGTATCAATTTATAAAAGGAGAATAATAATATATACATGTTGTGCTTTTATTGTGCTGCAGCGAGGTGCACGCGCAACCAAACGCTCAAAATGTGACGTATTTGACTCTGAAAGATCGATGTGCAAATGGGTTAAAACTAAAGATTGCGTGCTCCTTATTGGTTTTTTCCCCTCTTTTATTCATTTTTGCAGTTTCTGGTGGCACAACTGCGGCTTATTGAGATTTATGTCGCTTGGAAAAGGTTTTACAAATATTTGTCACGTTTTAAAAATACAAATGTTTTCAAAATGAAGTAATAATTTCCTAAAGAAGAAATTAAAAAAATAAAAAAAGTACCTATACAATTATACATATATAAGGTATATTGTACATCGAATATTTTGAGGATAGAAATAAAACCAAATATTCACCAATGACAATTTAAAAAGATTATTCAAAAGGGGAAAGTAATAATATTTCATTTAGGAAATGAGCAAGCATAACAACACCTCCTTCTCCCTCAATTTCTCATTTCCATATTGTCAATATAATTTTACATACCGACTAAAATATAACTCTTGGACCAAGTCACCGTTGCTTATTTTACGTGTGGGCGTAAACTACTGGACAAAAAAGGTCCGCGGACAAAAAATCGTTGACAAAATGTCCTGAAACCGTATTTCGTGGCTATATCATTCTACATTTTTATATTTTTTTATTTACTATAGTTCGTGGCTGTATTATTTGAGTGAGAAATATTGCAGTATAGAAGCAAACGAAACCTCGCTCTTTGTATAGTTTTGAATCATCTACATGCAACGTCCACCATTCCTTTTTTATCATCAGAGCTTCATGAAGCCAGAGACGGCTGAGCTAATCCTAAGTGGCCTCTCTAGCGGCTATACTCTCCCTTTAAAGGTACTCTATTGCTCAGAAGGCCAGCAATTACAACCACTAAGTGTCTCTGTTCATGATAGGGAGCATGATCAGGAGAGATATGAGGAACATTCAAGTATAGTCTCGACCTGCTTGCAGATACCTATAATCTGCAGAGGTAGTCCCTCACATAGAAACGTTGAGCTAAATTGTGTTTGCGTAATTGCATTCTCCTGAGTTCCGCAGGAACACGAAGCTGCCAAGTCACCGGAAAAAATCATTTATAATTTCTTTATACTGTGGAGCAGCTGCATGTTCCGCTCAGCTTGAGAGACCAGCATGAAGTAAAGGCTGGAGCTTTCACGTTCCGCGATGAATTCGTAAATCGATTTTATCTGAGCTTGTATGCCGAGTAACCTATTTTAGAGCGTAACATCTGCTACCTAGTCACAGGAAACTAATAGCTATCTCGGGAGATAAACCACTGGGTTGTTGTGGCGTGGCAATCAAGCCGCAACTTAACTAACGTTCCCCTTCAAGAGACTCGCGCCCAAGAAAAGCTCTCACCCACCCTGCTGAGCGATATTGCCCTGATATCCCCGGAGCCTTGCTTACATTGAAAGAGACTTTTGTAGAAACGTTGAGACAATATTACCGATGAAAGAGAAGCGATAGTGTCAGGGATTATTTATTGAAATATTTTTATGGAATGTATTTATCTTAGGATGCCTCAATTTGCCCTTTTTAAGTAGCATAATTGGCTGCCAACAAAAAAAATTGAAAAAAAAGCTGGCAGATCTATTGGTACTGAACTATAATTTTGCGGTTTATTTAATTTCGAAATTATAAAATAATACTAATATTAAGAAGAGTTGTTTTTAGAGTTGAATAAAATTTGACCCTTAAGGTTGATTACAATTTTTCATTCTGGCTATTGACAACCATTGCAATCCAGAAAGGATTTGAGTGCTGCCAGCTTGTTTTTCTTTCCTTTTTTTCTTCTTTTTTTACGCTCAGTATATTCGGGTCTCTGTCACTAGTTGAAAATCAATGCTGGCTCAAAGGTTATATTCCTAATGACTCAGCTCAATTTGTAAGGTCTCTAACCCCTGCACACGCAACACCATTGACTCAATTTTGAGTTTTGCGTGAATTTAAGTTTAGTATTCCCTCTTCGACGGACGGTCACATAAGAATTGGACGTATTTCCGCTGGACGGAACCAGAGACAGGCGGGAAAGAAGGGGTGTGTTCGCGCTAGTTAAGGGCCGTAAGAATGAATGGGAATCGTAAAGCGCCATAGTGACGTCAGCGGTGACGACCGAGCCGAGGATCCGAGGAACCGAGTCTTTAATCATGAGCCCTGTCCACAACGCTCTTGTAACATGCCCACGGCTCATGAGTTAGTATACAGTTGGCGCTTCTTTTCGCTCAGCAGAATATATAATCCCGCTTTCTCGCTTTCCCAATTCCCCAAAAGGAATCACGCCCACTTTTACATTGTTGCTTATCCAGCTTCAACAAGCACACCCCAACTTTCCCTCTAGTCTATAGAGTTCCGTGTAGCAGAGATACGTCGAATTCTATCTATCCTGCTTTCCTCTGCTTGAAGTTTTTTCCCTCTTATTCCTGAATTTACATGTGTGAGTATAACAGATCATCACTTTCATACACTTTTATTTAAAAAAAATGTTTTCAAACTGTGTTTCAGGTGTCGATTATATGCATGCTGATTTGAAAAACAATTACGTAAGTGATGATTTACCAACGCTTTTTACTCTCATTAAAACACACTTCACAGACTAAAAGATTAAAAGAAAAAGATTAAAGACTAAAAGACTCTCTAATAAAATTAAACCCCAATGAAGTTAGTGGCCAGTAATGGGATGTCTTTAGTATGAGATCGCCTAGATACATTTCACGTTGCTTAATTTCCAAACAAAATACTAGGATAGTTCTACCTTGAAAGTTTGTGATTGTATATTTCTTTTAGCCGGCAAGATGGCAAATTGAGGATGCTCTCGAAATCTCAACTCGTAATCATTCTGAGAAAAATCTTAAACACAGGGGGGAAGTGTCATGAAATTCAATTTTTTATGACATGCCAATTTTTTACTTTTTTTAATCGCCGTGTAACGAGGTCTGTAATACGTAAATCATATTTTCACATCTGCCTTTAATTCAATACCTCTAAATTGTCGGTGATTTCTTTTCAAAGGCAGCATACCTTTTCCACAAAAAAAGTCAGTCTCAGTCAAATTGAAACTCTCTGTTCGAAAACGACCAAAATTAGGTTTTTTACGATATTCATTAGCGTGTGTATAGAAACAACCTCCGAATTTTCGGGGAAAGGGGCGGTATCAAAAAAATATTTTGGTCTATAGTTGCCGGTATCTCTCGCAGATTTATTTTCTTAATGTAGTGGGAACGTTTTCGTAACCTTCATTTTGCGTTCAGAAGTTTTTTTGAAACGCCCTAGAAATTTTGTAATGTATAGGGGACACATATTCAAAACATTTTTGAAACCTCGCGTGATATTAGGGAACAAATTTATTACATTGATGTTTCCAACTAAAACACAGCCTACTAATGCAAAGTCTGGTGTGCGTGCGTTTCTAATTAATCACAGAAACTGTTTAAGTCAGACAAATTTGATTTTCAGTGTTAATTTTTTCAATTTGTTTTAGAATGCGAAAGCCAGTTATGATTTTAGCAGTAACGACCCGTATCCATATCCTAGGTATACAGATGACTGGTTCAACAGGTTTGTACATTATTGACTTTTTAAGCACTCTGATACCATAATATCATTTTGATCTATTAATTAACGAGTCACTAGATTATCAGGTGCAATTAAAAAAAATATGAGGTAAGATGAGTTGAAATAGAGTTGTGTAAAGCAAGAGTTTGGAACTCCGATGGTCATTCATAAAATAAGACCACATATCCCTAAAATAATGTTCTAGGAGTTATTAGAAAAATTTTACTTGGGCCATGAAGGTTTCATGGAAAAGGAAGAGGATCGCACGACATTTTGAAAATCAAGTTTTATACACGATGTTTAAGGAGGTCCAGGAGACATCTGACTTCATACTTAAGTAGGAGGTATTTTTAAATTCTCTAAAGCTCGTAGAAGAGCTGATTAAGCTGTCCTTAAATACGAAATAAAATTACGATTTCGTGAAAAATCCGAATCCGTGAGCAAGTTTTCACTTTTCACCGCACCTTGAACCGAGAGGTTCTATCACAAAAATCTACCATCAGTTCAAATTCTTTGGAAACATATTAGCAATTTATCAATCATAAATCAAATTGAAGAGAAGTAAGCATATCTACTGTAGCAGAGAGGGAAAGTTTTAATATTCATGCAGTCTGACATTGCGTTCGAAGATGAACACGCCTTGAAGGCTTACCTTTTTCCAACAAAATCTAATTTTCTTGATGACCCGTTGATCGTAAATGTCAAACCAATACGTCCCAAATCGAATTGGAAAATATGAAAATCAAAATAAATTCAAAACACTTGCTTTCAACCCTCTTCGCACTCGGGAACACCGAGGAAAAATTGGGGAGCCTCGGTGTGATCCGTTGGTGTGCGTGGAAGGACTGGAGGGTAGACACGCGACGAGGGTAGATGGTGCTGGTAAAATTGAGTTTCCTCGCAAACCTTTGAATCTATGTATAAATCCATTTAGGACTTACTTTAAAGCTAGAAGTAAACCCTATCCGTGCTTTTTTCATCAATTTTATTTCTCTGTAGTGGAGAGACTATGAAAAAGAAAACTTCATTTCCTGGACAACAATCGTAATTTGCGACTAAATAGAGTTTTCAGTCAAGTTTGTGAATTTTGAAAAAATAATTTTGCATCCTACAGGCCCACAAGTTTTTTTTTTTTTTTTTTATCCAAACAGGGCTGTAAAAAGTCTATTTTCTTAAAGCGGGGCTCTAGCGAAGTACTTTATACTTCATCCTCCGGGCTCTAGCGAAGTACTTTATACTTCATCCTCCAAAATTTTGTCAAATCGTGGGACTCCATCGATTTTCAGAACCGAAAATTTCAAAGAGCTGAGCATTACTTATAAATTTGTCTGACTATGAAAGTACCATGACAACATTAATATTCTCTGTTTATAGTCATGGAACTCGATGTGCTGGAGAAGTAGCAGCAGCCAGAGATAATGGGATTTGTGGAGTTGGAGTGGCTTACGATTCAAAAATAGCAGGTAAATCATCTCTCTATGAGTTTTACGCTTCAGTTTTAGCAAAATTCAAGCTTTTCTACCCATTAAATAAGAGTAAAGGGATGAAGTTTCGTAAGTATTACTAATCCTAACTGAGTAAGTAAAATATTAAGTCGTGTCTCTTTTGAACGGGAAAATGTGCTCTGGAGACGCACGGAGACAATATTTTCAGACACCCTGTTCGGAAGTGCCGGATTTATGCATCTGTTTATCTGGTTTGAGATCGATTCAGGCACCTAATGAAGGGGGTTTAGAGGATACTCTACAGCCAAAAAGGATTCAGTGGAGGAACTTTTAAGATTTTTAGGGTCGCGCAAGCGACATTTTCAGGTAATGCGCGATAATTTCAGACCCTTTGTTTATTACTAATGATAAAATGGAGAATCAAAGCAAATATAACGCAAGCTCTCTCGCTCTCTTCGGTTAGCAGTAATTTTGTCTACATTTTTACTTTTTAATGACTACATTTGATCAAGTTTTTAACAAACCCAACACAGAAAAGAATCTCGTAGTAAACAATTCCGACTCAAACTTTAAACATTTTTAATTTAAACAATAAGATACTTTCAAGATTGGAATTTCGCTAGTTTGAGTGATTAAAGAATAATGATGTCATCATGAATGGCTTGTCCGTAATTAGGCGACGCACAAATAAGAGGGTTTTTATTCTTCTTCTTTCTACCATACATGGCTCCTCTCTCGACGAGGCTGTTCTCTGTCGCACCTCCTCCAGAGGACAACCAGTCACAATAAATTTCTTAGAGTTTTCGTGTATTGGGCTTTGACCTCCAGAAAATGAAATCTAATCTAGTCTATCTAATAAATGAGAGGAGGCTACTTTAACGTCATTTCAGTCTGCCTTCAATTTTCAGGGTAGGCAACACAAGCTCCCGCGTGGTCGAATAGTGGTATCATCATGAAATATGGCACTCTCACTCGGAATACCCGCAATCATACCTTTTTTACCAGCACGGGTGGAAATTACATCAACGTCATATCAGTTTGCGCTCAATTTCAGTCTAACATAGTTAACAACATCGACCTTTGCTACATGCATTCTGAAATCTCATTACGCTTGTTACAGGAATTAGAATGTTAGATCAACCATACATGACGGATTTGATCGAAGCCAACTCAATGGGTCATGAACTGAATCTAATCGATATTTACAGCGCGTCATGGGGTCCCACTGATGACGGGAAAACCGTCGATGGTCCTCGTAATGCGACGATGAGAGCAATAGTAAAAGGCGTCAATGAGGTAAGATATGATGAGTTTTAAATGCCCTCTTTCACCGCAACTATCAATGGATGAAAACGCTTAGATTTTTTATTTGTCATACTTGACAATGTAGGTACCTACACTGTTTACAATCACTCAGATACGACTAATTTTCAGTTTAAGGGCGATTTCACGACTATGAGAAGAGGCGAAAATTATGATCAACACGATTTTAAAACCAAGAATGGACCAAAAGAAATGTGGCCAGGCATGGGCAAGGGAATTTAAAAAGAAAAGGCCAAATCTCCTGGAAAGCGAAAAAAAATCGATTGAGGTCGAGAGTATTGTTTTTTCGTTTTCGATGATATCAATGTCTGATACTCTTAAGAATACTGAAGGCCAAAATTTGCATCGTCAACAAAGTTATAAGCATTTTAAATGAACAAGGTCAGAAGCTAGCAACAATGCGATGACCCGTTTTCCTCGAAATCGTGATTTTTCGACTCCAAAATCTGAAACTCATTAAGGAAAGTAACCCCTTTGAATAGTGATCTTATACTTGTGCTATCTCAAATTTGTTTTTTCTTTCTTTTTTTTTTCACTCTTAGTCCCCTTTTTCCATGCCTTGTCATAAACATTGCCCCCAAATCTGTTCGTGCATACAAATATGAAAAAGTATTTTTATACTTAAACTTAAATTACTTTAAAATCCGATAATGTCCACACTGAAAAAAAGTTACGGGCTATGTAGACATACCGTCCGTTCTGGGATCATAAGCTGAAACTTTTGAGTGCTGGAGCCGTAGCTCCGATTGCTTTGGGCGCTATATCCGAAACTTTCGGCCTCTGAACCCGGAATGCGTACGGTACATCTAAAAAGCTCGTAAGTGCGGCTTCCACGGTCGGAGTTTTTTTTTCAGTGAAAGAAACATTGTAAATTTCTGCAATGAATTGAATGATTATGGATTTTTTCACGAAATTTATTTTTATTACTGTGTTCTTGCAACGCTGAAACGATTTTTAAGTCTGTCTGGTTTTTGCAGGGTCGAAATGGACTGGGTAATATTTACGTTTGGGCAAGTGGGGATGGTGGGGAGGAAGATGACTGTAACTGTGATGGCTATGCGGCGAGCATGTGGACAATTTCGATAAACAGTGCAATCAACGATGGACAAAACGCCCATTACGACGAGAGTTGCTCCTCCACTCTCGCCTCAACTTTCAGCAACGGTGCAAGGGACCCAAACACAGGCGTGGTGCGTACTTTAAAACTTCTCAGTCGCTCTCGAATTCTCGTTTTTTTTTTTTTCATCTCCCATGAAGAACCTCCCTTTTCTATAATTATGTATTTCCTTCATTACCACGTAAATTGCCAGAACCACCCGGTTCAGTGTCTCTACTTTTAAAGAGCGGCCTGTAGGCTTCTCTGTTTCCATCTTGGATCCTCAAACTTGACTTAATTGGTAATTACGCATTCATTGATCGCATTCAGCAAAAAGGAACCAGCGCAATTACAGTGTTTTAAAGGTCGTGCAACTTCTCATTTTCTTTTAAAAATACTTAATATACGCACAATAAGCACGATTTACACGATTATTTTCCTATAAAATTAACAATTTTTGGCGGAAAGCCCAAATTATTTTCTATTCCGCAAGATTTTTTATATAATCATAAAGAAGCAACATTTTTACAACACTTTAATCGCGCTGGTTTCTTTTTGCTAAATGCGATCAAAATTAAACAATCAAGGCAGATTTTAAGTGTAAAGGTTACTTTTAGAATCGACTTAATGATGGTTGTTTATTTCATTTTACAGTTGAGAAAAAATATTTCGAAAATAAAATTAGTCGTTAAATTGTGTCTTTAACATACAGTCTTATAGGGGAATGAAAATTCGAACCTCCTTATCTCAGTTCAAACCAGATGCGTCTCTGTGCGTTTTTGATTGACTAGGTCAATCGAATAGAAATTAGTTTTATAGACTGTTCGGTAGACCATACTAGGCCAAGAATATCCTAAGGCCAATGGTCCGGTTGGTATCTTAATCTACAAAGACTAGGCACAGGTACACTCAGTTGGTTGCAGCGCTTGATGCAACTATTCGTGTTCCACGGATGTGCGTGTTGCGTGTTCAGAAATTGAAGGCACTTCCGCTTTTTTCATCTCTTCAGAGATGCACGAGAGTTGTCAGTTGTAGCACCCGAGTAAAAGAGTGCCTAGGAGGAGAATGCCACCTCAATGATTTCGCTACTGAAAAAGTCCGGTTCTCTGATTGGTCTGCGAGTTTCAGGCTTCCATGGTAGCCCATCCGCTCCCAGTTTTGAACCGAGGTAACCAATGAGGATTACGACGACGTCCTCAACATGATGAGGATTTTTCGACTTTTAAACAAGTTCTGAAGATGGATATTTTTGCCAAGGATTGCCTTTGTCTGTTAGTTTCATTCATCTCTCCTTCGAAAATACGCACTGCTATTGATCGAGGTTGTTTACGCGATTACCGGGTTTCTGAAAAAGAAACTAAAGAACTGAAGACTAAGAGAAATACACTAATGCGGCTGGGGAAATTGTATTTCGACGATGAAACTATCAAACCACGTATCTCGGTTTGCGACATCGTAGACTTCCTTTCCTTCCTTTTTTTTTTTTAAATGGTGAACTACTCAAACTAAATCCTTGAAAACTTCCGCGATTTTTCATCTCTGTGCGAAGAAAACTTTGTAAAAATTTCAAAGAATGATATTGATTTGTTCCCCTTTAAATACACAAAATGTGAGCGGAGATTTTTGAACACCGCAAACGAGATCCGTGGTCTGGTAGTTTCACTGTCGATTTGTCGCAGAAAATACACGTCCAATAGAATCAAATGATTCCATCACAACCAGAAGAACTATTCCGTAAATTTTCGTTGTTACGATTAAAAAAGGTTAAGTGGCTTCTTTGATGCAACAATCAGATTTTCATTGGCGCAATGAGAAGCAGAAAGCCACTTGGTTCCCTTTTACACTAAATCCGCAATTTCTCTCAGTGCGTCGCGACGTGTGGTTCAAATCCAAAGTCAGTATGTCTACAAATAGTGAACGTAGAAACTTATTGATATGTATGTTTCAGGCAACAACTGATTTATACGGTAAATGTACTACCACCCACTCGGGTACATCAGCCGCTGCACCGGAGGCTGCTGGAGTATTTGCTTTAGCGCTAGAAGCAAAGTAAGTCACATCCTCAAGGTTACCTACACAAACAATGCTCGTAAAAATAAGTAATAAGCTATTTATAAATGAAGATTACGGTGCATGAACATGCTGAGCAACATTTTTGTGGCTGCCAGAAAAAAACCAGAGACCGTAAGGTCCATTGGCGGATCCAGAAAATTGGCAACATTGTCTTTTCTCCATTTAAACCTATGGAAATGTATCGATTCTTGGAGGAGCTGGTGCTCCAAAAAGAATCGATTATTTAGCATAGGTTCAAATGGAGACGATGCAGGGTTGCCACATTGCTGGATCCGCCTCTGGCTAAGGTCCCATACCGTTCATCGTTGCGCTAATTATTGATAGCATTTAATCTAATCCATTTATACAGTCTTATTTGTATAGTCTTTGGCGTTCATGTGAAACAATTCATATTACACAAGATCGTGTTCGCTAGAGATTCAAAATTTCAACTTACCAAGAGTATGCGAGGAAGAAGTTCATTCACGGAATAAACAATCAATATTAAAGAAGAGGGTAATGGGGATAATAAGTTCTCCTCAAATTAAAATCTGATGATACTTGGTCGGCCGTTCAAAAAATACCCGTTTTTCTCCATCTCTTTCTTTAAATGTGAAAAATATTCTTCGCTCTGTGTCATTTAGTGTTCTTTTGATTTCAGTCCAAGTTTAACATGGAGAGATATTCAGCATCTAACGGTTTTGACATCTAAACGGAATTCATTATTTGATGCAAAAGGTCGATTCCATTGGACAATGAACGGAGTGGGTTTAGAATTTAATCACTTGTTCGGATACGGCGTATTGGATGCTGGTGCTATGGTTGCCCTCGCCAAGCAATGGCAAACGGTTCCGGCGCGATATCACTGTGAGGCCGGTTATATGAAAAAATTCCAGTAAGTTCTTTTGATGAATCATGTTCTTTTTTCAATATATGATTTGACAAGGATACCCAATCTTATAAAATCCAAAAAAAATGAATTGTATTCCAATATGGTGATTAGGAGCGGTTTCATTCCCGCATGATTCGTCGTTTCCTGAACGAAGGAACGTAACTCTATTCCAAGGTTGCAAAATTACTTACAAAATTAATTTTTTACAAGAGTGTACCCTGTATCTGTGCAGTTTTTGTCCAAAATTATTCTAATTTTTGTATGAAATTACAGGAAAAATCGGTGAAATTTTCAGTTATAAATGTCCAAGATTCTCCTGGTAAAAGTGGAATTTGCGAGGGGAAATTTGGCAACATTGAAATCTAGTTACGTTCTTTCGTGGGAGGAACGACGAATTGATAGGAGGATGTCTGTGAATATGTTCCTCACCGACGAAATAAATAATTTCTTCGAAGTGGCAGCCGAAGAAAATGTGTAGCCTTTTGTCTTACCAACCGTAAACACATCATAATGGCGCCCTTTGGCCTCATCCGTACGGATAAACGTCCACTAAAACTATTTTTTCAATTCCAACGATCGAACAATCATTATATCATATGCTCAAGGATTAGAAGTCATCGTAAAATATTTTCTCCATTGAAAAGTAGTGTTTCAGCCTACAAAAAATGGCACTTTACAAAATATGCCAGAAATCGTCGCTCCTCTGACGTAGGGGCGTATCTATATTTTCACATGAGCCCCAGCAAGCATAGAATCATACGGAGCACAGAGCTCGCATGGAAATTGAGATACGCCCTTATGTGATCGGGCCGACGGAATGTAACCCGTACCTACCCTCCACCACATGATTTCAATATATACACGGAGAAAAAAACTTCGTGCATGGGACCCGAAGTTGAGGTCATATGGATCTCTGAAGTTTTCGGATCTCGCGTCCGAAAACTCGAGGTTCAGCAGCCGAAGTTCGCATCAAACGTCTGAAGTACTTCGGATTGTACCGGCGTCAGTGATGCCAGGCGTACGGATTTATCCGTGCCGCGCGGACATTCCCTATACCGACACGGACCGCGTACGGACAAAAACCTTATGGGAAAAACGCTTCCCTATCTTAAAATATCCGTACGCGTGACGTCACAGAATGACGCTCAGCCAATAGCAGCACGGAGAGCGGTAGAGCGTACGGATCTCGCACACGGAGCACCCGGGAACACTGACCGGCGTATTTCAAATGTGCGACCCGAATCCTTCGGTGTATAACAAAGTACTGCAGATGTTTGACCCGAACTTCGGCAACTGGACCTCAAGTTTTCGGGCGCGACATCCGAAAACTTCAGAGATCCATATGACCTCAAATTCGGGTCCCGCACACGAAGTTTTTTTCTCCGTCATCCACGCATATGCACAGAACTCTCTTTGAGGACCTGACAATGATCACTTCCAACGGATAGACGTGTCTCTTATTTCGTAATCCTTATCTTCCTTGCAGGGCTATTCCAAAATCCGGGTCTGTTATTCTCAAAATACACACACGTGTTTGTCAAGGATTCGAGAATGAAGTGAACTATTTAGAGCACGTCCAAGCTGTCGTTACATTGAACTCTACAAGGAGGGGTGACGTTGAATTGTTTCTAACATCTCCAATGGGAACCAAGTAAGTATGGAGGCTCAGAATTGAACTGACAATAATAAACAAGTTTCTATATGTATACAAACGTAAAAAAAACGAGCAAAAGTCAAGTTAAACGGTTACGCGTTAAATTGACTTCGATTAAGATGACGTCATATGCCCTCATTAAGCGAATCATGTATTCACTTCTTTACTTAAGTGTCATGTTAGGGGTCATGCCAGGTAACTCTCCCCCCCCCCCAAGGTTTTGGTGACATGACGTTGCTAGTCCTGCACACCTAAAAATCACTGTTTTTTTCTTATTTATGTTTCAAAAATAAAGTTTTGTTTTTACATACATATCGACGGTGAAACTACCAAACCACGTATCTCGGTTTGCGACGTCGCAGACTTCCTGTCATACTTTATTTTTTAAATGAAAAGCTACTTAACGTCCAGTCTTGAAAATTTCCGTGATTTTTCCTCTTCGTGCTGAGAAAATTCTGTGAAAATTTCAAGGAATGATATTGATTTGGTCTACTTCAAAAAAATGAAATGTGAGCGGAGATTTTTAAACACCGCAAACGAGATACGTGGTTTGGTAGTTTCACCGTCGATATCCAACTTACTGGCAACGATTTGCTGAAAAATACCTTAGAGAATGATTCCATAGCATTCTCACAGCTTCAAGTTCTGTCTGGTGGAGAACACATTGCACTAAAAGTCAGCAGAGGGCCATATCGCCAATTGTGGCAACCAACCTTCCCAATGACTTTCCTCACTTGAAAAGAAAAAAAAAGAAAAAAAAGAGAAAAAAAAAACACCTCAATAATGCAAGTTTTTTAATCGTCAAAACCCGCGAGAAAAAATATACATTCAATAAACACGAAGTTACATCCGGCAAGATATTGCAGTTTTACCTTCTTTTCTCTCGCCGTCATTTTGTTTTTTAACTAGAGGTTATACGCTCCTTGACCGCTTCCAGGTCGTTACCTTAGGCGTTATTCGTCACGCGTTACTATAATGACGTTATATTTTTTCTTAATTCATTTATTCGCAGATCCATGATTCTCAGTCGGCGAGTTAATGACGATGACAAAAGAGATGGATTCATCAAATGGCCATTCATGACGACACACATGTGGGGCGAGTATCCCCAAGGAACTTGGCAGTTGGAGGTGAAGTTCAACTCGGACGTCCCTCAAAACGGTTTTATCAAGGAGTGGACGCTAATGCTACACGGAACGAAAGACGCTCCTTACACGAATTTGCCTGTATCTGACCCCCACTCGAAGCTGGCGATAGTGAAAAAGGTCCACGAGGAAAAAAAGAACAAGTAGTTAATGAACGCATGCACATTTTTTAATGGTTGGCCTGCGGCCGACTATCTTTTGTTACGTACGTATTGTTGACCAACTCAACAGCTTGTTGAGGATAGATTCAATTTATATTTACACCAGCTCTGGGTTTCCTTATAATTATTTCTCTTTTGTAGCTTCTCATTCAAATGTATTTGTTGACGCGATCTGATTAAGACTGGGAAAGTGAAATCTTCCGTGATGAATGGACTGCATTTTGCAATAAGGAATCACAATTTCTGGCCTATAGATAAAAACCTCTATCTGCATAGGAAAACCGATAGCATTTATGTTGTTTCTAAAATGAGCCTGTAACTGTAGTTTCTAATTGCAAAATGTGGTCCAAATGGCGAGAAGAAACATTCAGTGTATTTTTGGATTGTATCCCCCCTCCCCTCCAACTAGATTAAGTTAAAATATCGGAAAGATTAGGTGACCCGGAAGATTTCAACCGAGCAAAAAAAAAATGGGGGAAAATCGAGACGATCGAATAGTGCATTGTTAGTTAAAATGTAGGATTCGTTGATCGTACATTTTTTAGTCCATCTAATTTTGCTTTCATCTGTTTTTTATTTTTATGAGTACATCAAGGGAAAAACTTGAGCATATTTTATTTTTTCAGTAGATTGTAAAATAGAGAGATAACACATTCAAATCCTTACCCATATTGATTGTAGTTCCTGAATTATTTAAAATACCTACTCCTGAAAACTATGATAACATACGGAAATATTATTTTTACCTACATTATGGAGAAGAGGAATATGTTTGTGACCTCTGTGTTTTCAACTCTTTTAGTATTCAGTAACAATCATCCTCTTTTAAACATAAGACCAAATAATTGAAAATTATTGAAATCATCATCAGTTTTCAATTGGAATGTGAGTATTTTTGTGTATGACATAAAAATCATTTAAAGTAATATCCTGCTCTTCATATTTAACCGAAACGCACATTTACGTGAGCCAAAGAAAAAACACTGTTTTCTAAAAACGCAAGACATTTTTTTTGTAATATAATTACGTTAATGAAAAATTATGTTCTTAGTAATTTCATTTACAATTCTTTTCTCTCCGGAGTAAATTTAACACTAATCTGAAGCAAATACGTTTCCAGAGGCTAAAAAAGAAAAGAGAGAGTGATACGCCGAGAAAGAAAACGGGAAAACATGAAAGTAACTTTGACATCCATTTTGTAATTTTTAAAGAGCTTTTAGCACCATTAATTTTATTTTTATTATGATTGAAATTTCTCTCATTAGCTTTATTTTATGAAGGGGGAAAACTAATTTCAAAGAGATATATTTACGATTGATGATTAGGTTGTTTATGGAAATGCATGCTACTCAATGGTTCCTGATTGAAGAAACATAATTAATTTTTACATAACTCCGCCATGAATCCAAAAGTTTTATCCATATTTCCGTTGTGGATGATTCCCCTAGAGGAGTGTGTAAGCCAATGAAAGATTAACCGCCAAAATCAGAAAATTCCAATTTTTACATATTGGAAATTATAAATATCTAGCCGTGTCAAATATTTATTTGTAAAAAATTGAAAATTTAAGTATATGGCAATGCTAATAACGTTGAACGCTTTCAGTAATAATGAGGTTTATGTTACAAGTTTACAAAATAAAGTTTACAAAATAAAAGTTTACAAAATATCGGTTTCTACGTGAAGTTACGAAGAGAGCACTTTTAATCTTTCGTCCAAATCTTTTGTTACAAACTTAAAGGTGTGGATTAAGTGGTTTTTTCCTTTTTCTTCTTCTTCTTCTTCTTCTTCTTCTCCTTCTTCTTCTTGACGCATTAACTACATACTTTCCTACGTATATCGGCTTTGTTCGGTAAAAAGTGACATGCTAATTCCATCAAGCATGGATGTATCCCATTAGAAAACCATCATCCTCGTATCTTCATAAGTATTGATCATTCAATTATAATAAAGAGCAATGATCCATGCCTCATCTCACGACCACTTGCCGTTGTGTTATGTGACACGATTTAATTTCCCATCTTTATACAACACGAATAAAACAACTGTCTCAATATTTCAAGATGAATTTTTCGAAGCAGAACACCGATTTCTTGAAGTTTTTATGTGCATTCAATTTTCCTTAGAGGTTACTTCAGGCATACCTTGCCCGGCCCACGAGATGGCTCGGAGGTGAGGCGTGAGTGCATGGAGCGTCAAAACGCCTTCACATCCCTGCCTATGCAACACGTACATCCGTGGAGCTCGAATAGTTGTATCTAGGCGTTGCAATGAAATTCCTGAGGAAGGGATGCCCTGTTTTAGTTTTCAGAATGTCGTTCTCGAAATGAAGTCGGATGGGGCTGTTTCACCTGCCCATTTACTAATTGTACGGGTTACAATCAAAGCGGCTTCTTCGGCAACTTCTTTGCAGGACTCAATCGCGAACAATAGAACTCATTCGTTTTTTATTTGGTAAAAAACGTTTTAATTTAAAGAAAAATTGCATTGGGCCTCTTTTACTTGGGAGGATATTCTCCACCAGAAACAGCATTTGTTTTTTCTTTTATCACCCCTTAACCTCCAACCCTATGATCATTTAATTTTTCCTCCTCTTTTCCCCCACTTTAGGAGTCAAACAATTTCAAAATCGCACACTGAAAGAAAAATTTCTTGAGATATTCTCGACTTATTGAAGCGTCGTTTTTTCTCGACAAAATTTGGCATTATTGAGTTGAATCCGTGCAGATTTCACTCAACATAAGTTTTTCTGAGTTGGAAAAGTGTCGTTTTGCTTATCGTCAAATTTAAGTTAAAGTGAACGATAGCAAAACAACGTTTCTATAACAAAATAACCCAATTTCATTGACAAGAAACGGCAATTTAAGTCAAAATAATATCCCAAGAAAAATGTTTTTCAGTGCAGTTCCTGACTAGTCTGGTGAAGCACTGGCCGGTAGAATGTCCACAAAGGGACACATTCATTGTCTTACGGCGGTCCTGGGAAGAATATTTGGCAAGTTTCAGTAGGTTCAATACAGTGGCGTGGCGTGCATTGCGATGCATCGATTGTTATGCCATTTAAACCTACGGTAAAGAATCGATTATTAAGGTGTTCGCTGCGAACGCCCTGTTTATCGATCATTTTCCAAAGGTTTAAATGGCATAACAATCGATATATCGCAAAGCACGCCACGCCACTGGTTCAATATCCATATTTGCCATACCTACAGTGCGCAGCTATTAATTTTCCCGACGTATTTTAAGCGCCGAATTCTGGAAAAAGTCTAAAAAAAATTCCGTCGATTTCGGATTTAATGCAGATTTATAATCATAAACGTAAAGAAATTAATTCTAAAAAATCCTTGTCTTTCTTTCATAAACATTGGAACCATTGAACAGCGCTGTATATCGTAGGACATAGGTGCTTAATCAGTCTATTGCTGGTGGAGTCACGTGAGTTTTTATAATCGGATCATCTTAAATTACATTGCGACGTCCCATTACTGGTCATATTTGTTTATTTTCCTCTGTTCGGGCCAATTTTTTGCATTAGTGGCACAGTACCTGTTCTAATCTAGTTGACGAAAGAAAATAATAATTTTAATTTGTTAAATGTTAGTTGTTTTTATTTTCGTTCTATTCTCTCTCTCTTTCTCCTTCTCTCCCCCTTTCTTTTCCTTTCCCCCATTGCATGTGGACATTATTGATTTTAGCTTTTTCTCATGAAAAAACCATCATCAATCACGAATTTAAAGAGATAGACGTTAAAACATCATAATCTTTACTTCTATAACGTATTCGGAGGAACCAGAAAATTTACTTCAATTTTCTTTGTAAGACGAAAATAGCTTGAGCTTAAGCGAGTTTATCCTCTTGTCTACTCGGGCTGCTTCAGTGACTTTCATTTATCTTCATTACCCTCTAAAATTAGAGTCTTTCTTTGAGTATTTCTGAAGTATTGCTTTGTCGATACGTTTCAGAGGCATAGAGGGTCTGAAAAGTGTTCTTCAAAGGGCTCACAGCAGAGATTGTGACGTAGGTAACGCAAACTTTTCCGTCTGATCGTGAGATCTTGCGTCAATACGCAAAGGCAGTCAGAGACCATTAATACTTTACATTCGTGTTCTATTGGGCATCGGGATAAACAAGGGGAAATTTTTAAACAATTTCCACCAACACACTTTCAAAGACACGTTTCTAATGCACTCTGGAAACAATTCAGTGAAACAATACTTTTGAACGGACGTTCAAACGTTTACGTTTACGTTTACGTTTACGTTTTGGTGATAGGTACCTATCACCAAAACGTGTTAGAAATATCACATACAGACATTTTTAAAAAAAAAATTTCAGAAATTTTTTTTCAACAATTTCAAAATCAAGGTGACATTTACTCTGTTAGAATGCGCGTTTATATTCTCCAGGAGAGAAGTCCTCGGCGCGTCTCGTCTTGATCCGATATATCGACTGACCTGCCATTTAGATTTATGGAAAAGAATCGATAGACAGTGTGTTCGCAACGAACACCTGAATAATCGATTATTTATCATAGCTTCAAATAGGGAAATATCGATACTCGATCATTCAAGCCTCATCTCTGGTTTCATGCGTATTTCCGTTTCTCTTCACGTGTTCACACTTAAATTTACTGACTTAAACCTTTTTTCAATTCCATTGAATAAAAATTCAGCAAATATTATGACGAGCAATTTTCTTCTTTTTTTCTGAAATCTTAGGGCAAGGGGACCAGTTGTTAGGCTAACAAGTGGAGAGACTGCTCGTTAAAATCTGCTCGAAGATTTGTTTAATCAGGAATATGAAAATAGGTTCATCTTGGCCGTTTAGTCCCCTGAGCTGAATCTTCACGCTATATTCAATCATGCAGAATAAAACAACTTATGACCCTGATACGCAAATGGGGAACGCTCCACGTAGCGTAAGGGAAAAAGTTAAGAAGAGGCATGGCATAGAAACCGCTTTTCACTCACACTCAGAGATGTGCATTTAGAAATATTTCCAATGTCACTTCCTTATTTTACTGTTGACCAGTAGAATTATCTTGTAATTAGTTGTCCGATTAAATATTATATTCTTATTTTTCTTTTTACAGTTTCTGTGATTGTTTTTTTTATTCATTCACTATTACTGAAAATTCCCAAAAATTAAATAAACCCGGATAAGGCCAATGAACAGATGAGCTACAAACTTAAGTCTTAAACAACGCTGAAGTTTTTCAATTGACGCAAAAATTGTGAAAATTGACCCGGTAGATCATACCCCGAATAAGCGCAATGGTGCCCAGCATTCCGTTTCTTTGAAACTTAAGGAAAGGGGGGATGGATTTAGTTTCAAAGGGCGTTTTGAACGGAGGAGGATAAAACATTTGAAGGTTCGGTAGTTCTGCGAGAATCAAAACGTCAAGACTTATTACCGTATAGAATTGTCGAATTCGATCCTGTAGAGCTGTAGAAAAAAGCGTCATTGCAAAACTCTCAACGATTTTATTTAGATAGATATGTACATTTTAACAAAATAATACTTTATGCAGATAAAGTCACTGAATATTACCTTAGTCAAAAGCAATGTCGAAGAAAAGATTACTGACCGGGTGCGAAACTTCACACCCCTCCAGCTTTTCCATTAAATATTACGATGAAGTCTTAAATTAATTAAAAGTCAGACTTATTTCCAAAGTGTAGATTACATGACATTTTACAAAGTAACGCCGATATATTGGATTGCTCATGTCACATATTCTAGAGCATCATCTGTTTATCTCTACATCATATATTTTTGTGGATGACGCCATGAAAAATCAACGGGAAATTTCCTCGTCCATACCGCGCATATCGCAGGAATTCTACTTCTACTTCCCATAATAATTATTGTTACAAGCCGGAGGACATACTGGAATGACGGTTTCTGCAAAAACACAAGACAAGAAATAATTATTAATTGGGTAATTTGTATGCAAACTCCAAGGAGTTCTTTGAACAGATATGACTGGCTTTGGGTGCCAGAGGGAAATTACTCGTCAATTAAAGAGCCTCTTAAATTAGTATCTCTTTCAGTGGTGTGGTGTACTTTGCGATATATCGATTGGTCTGCTGTATGAACCTATGGAAAAAATCGATAAACAGGATGTTGTCAACGAACACCTTAATGATCGATTCTTTACCACACCTTCAACAGCCTTTTTCCGTGAAGCTTTTGAAATTGATACCCGAGCCTGAGACAATGATACCGGTAATAACGCCTTGATGCAACTATTCGTGCTCTATGGACGTGCGTGTTGCGTACTAAAAATTGAAGGCGCTCCCGTCGTTCTAGCACATGAGACAGTGCTCGCTCGTTCGCTCGCAGCGACAGCGACATGCTTTCACGACTCGGTGTGGAGGTGAGATATAATATTCTTATATGTAAAATGGTGCGAAAACATTGTATTTTGCTCTCTTGCCTTAGTTTCTATCAGAGAATACTCTTGGCACATAGACAGCGCCGCACGCTGCTGCTAACAATAAGTGCACTGCTTCAATGCTTCATGGACCAGAGTGACCGGAGCGCCTTCCATCTTTTCATACGCAACACGCGTGTCCATACAGTGCGAATACTGAATGCAGTGCTTGCATTGACTGGGATGTTAGCATAAGAAGCCCGTCTCATCTTATTTTAACTGAGTGTCGTTAAAAAATTGAATAAGAAAAATGTACATATTTTATAGTTGTTCGGTTAAAAAGTACTTTAAATGAGGGGCTTGGAAGACAAGACGCATCAATGCAGTATTTGCTATTTCGGTAAAACGTTTTAAAAGCTCCGAAATCACATGGATCCTTACGACGCAGAGAAGGTTCAAACAGACTTTTTGATGCTTAAAATTTGGAATTTGGGAGCGAATTTTTCTCAGAATATGCTGTCAGACTAGTTTTAATTAAAATAGTTGATGCCTCGATTTCTTCAAAAATTGCACTTATGGGCCTTATCCTCCAAGCCTTTTAATTGATCGTTCTTAATAGTAGGCCTAATTTCATCATTTTATGTTACTTGGAATTTTTGTTTCACTCCAACCTAACGGTCAGTCTTGATACAGCGTTGCAAAGTTCACCCGTCCTAGATTTTCACCCCAGTTATTTTAAGTCGATGATGTTTGGGATGGGAGGGTTGATTTGAGAGTAATGGTCCCTAGGAATAGGACTATGATGTTTTCAAAGTCCCTCAGTCCCCCATAGGATTCAATCCCTTTGGGGGTCTTGCAGAGCCTCGTCGACCTATCATCGAATTTTAAATAAGAAAATCTCAGGCACAGGCTCATGGTTAATTTGAGCCTACTCCTCTGCGTAGAATGGGAACATAAGCATTGATAAATCAAACATTACAGTTGAAACTGTCATCAAATTGACGGAATCACTTCAAGTTGTGACTTAATAATAGATAGGGAGTCCGGGTAGACATGAGGTCAGGTAACATAAGACATTTCAAGTTTCGTGCCTAATGTACCTACTGGACCTCGTTAACGGTACCTATTGGTGTGCTAGTGGTTGTTGTACATTGTGGTTGGAGTATTGAATGAAGTCATAGTTCGTCGGAAAGAACTAAAAGTTAGAACTCATGAAAACTTATTTTAAAAAAATATTTAGAGACAATTTTCTTACCAAAAAGCTCAACTTCTCCGGCTGAAGAACCGAGTTTATTTGCTGCTTTGCATTGATACTTTCCATATTGCCTCTTTTCGATGGTGATCACACGCAGCGTTGTATCTGTCAGCTCATCAGCTGTGGCGTATTGTGATATACTATAAACATAAAATGATCCCTATTATTAAAGAGTATTGGAACACACCCCGGTGACAGGAGCCCAAATGGACGGGCGAGGATTTTTCCGATGAAAATAAATGAATTATTATTAAATATATAATAATAAAAGTTGAAAAATGAAATATGTATGTGTCGCAGGCAATCAGCAATCGCCGGCACTTTGCAAGCTCTGTACTTGTCAATTCGTCAAATTGCAATTACAATGACATCGATATAGTAAAGGTTTTTTTAGCGAAGAAATTCAAGGCACAACCTCAGCTTGGAACGCCTTCAAACCCAGCGATACTCTCCGCTTTGCCAAGGAGTTAGTTTAGTTGCTTAACCTAACCAAAGCAAACACAACGCAGATTATTGATAACCTTTGAAATTCTGGACGTCTTAACAGAGCCACGTCGCGTCGTGCCACTCCTATCTCCTGCCCCTTATTCATCCTAGTGTTCTTATTACATGCGATAAAATGTTAGAAATGACAAAGCTATGACCAAAGCTTAAATAGGAGTATTGCAAAGTCGAACTGCGGATGAATATTCAATGAGTCAGCTGCATTTGTCACCGACTTCTGTTTTGATGCTTGATTCTTGTAGATCAGCTAAAAATAACAAGATCCGTCCAAACAGCAACTTTCTACGTTCAATATTAACCGAGATATCGCTCTTTGAAAAATTCTGTTTATAACGGCATCCACCGCGGTAGTGACACCCTTGGTTTCATCCACCTTGCTTTTATACGAGTTACACACTAAGTATAGCCAGTGCAAATGAATGTTTCCCGGACAGATGAAAGCGAAGTGGAAGAATTCAAGGGTGTCACCATCGCGGTGGATGACGTCATAAACCGAATTTTTCAAAGCATGATATCTCAGTCAATATTCAACGTAGAAAGTTGCTGTTCGGACGGATCTTAATATTTTTAGCTGATCTACAAGAATCAAGCATCGACTTACGATTCACTGGACGAAAAACACATTGTATCTAGAGTCCAGGCTCTTGAAAACATTGACAATAAAAAATACTCTTGATTTAATCGAATTTTTGCTTGAATCAAAACGAATTCAGCTTAAATTAAGAGGCTTGGTTCTTGATTTAAGCTAGATTCTGATTGATTCAAGAGTACTTTTTCTTGTCGATGTTTTAAGAGTCTGGACTCTAGATCCAATGTGGTTTTTTCCAGTGTTCTAGGATCAGCGCAACTGACCCATTTTGAACATTTTTGAATAAAAACTTAAGAAATCTGCTCTTGTGTTCATTACGCACCTGTAATGTTGATTATTAGTCAAAGCAACGTCATCTTTCATCCAAATCACTGCCGGGGGAGGATAAGCTTCGATGTGACACTCAAGATCCATGTCGTATTGGAGTGCTTGGCCAAGTCTCGGTCTCACAACTTTGACGGAGGGTGGAAACTCCACTTCAACAGCGATGTGTCGTCCGGCGCCGCGTCCAACTCCGTTCTCAGCCGTGCAGTAGTATGTTCCTCGATCGTCTTTGGTGATGTTTGCGATCTTGAGAACATTACCCCTTAAAGAAGAAGAAACCCGATGACAAAAATGTCTTTAGTCATGTTCGGGATCTTGAGAACATTACCCCTTAATTCCTTAAAGAGAGGGTAAACCCGAGAAAAAAATATATCACTATACCTATCAAAGCCCTGTTGAAGCATACGAACCGAATAAATACCAAAACCCTGATGAATTTTAGTAATTTACCAAATAAACCCAAGTTTGGAAATATTTTGACCGCTTTTCATTGTCAGTAGAGAGAAGCCGCACATATTGATATTGCGGTTTCTCGTCATATCTATGTGGTTATCCATTTTGCTAATTCAGCCCTGTTCAAACCATGCCAATGCCTTTAAACACGGATATTTTTTATCCCAGAAACTGTTAAATGGATGTATTTCTGTCAGATGGAACTAGGCGCCAATTTGAGTTCCTTTTGAGGAATTTAGAATCCCGGATAGCGCGTTCTGTCAAACGGAACTAAGCGCCATGGAAAATCATTGCGAGTATAGGATGGAGCGAGCAGGACGCCCGTTTCCGCCGTCAATCCAAGCCACCCTCTACCTTCCTCCCCCTATGGCGCTTAGTTCCGTTTGATAGAAATACGTCCAAATATGTATGAAGGTTAATGTGAACAAAGAATCCGTAGTGCTGTGATTCTCACACTCCCTGTCACTGGCAGATCTAGCAAATTGCCAACATTGTCTTTTCTCCATTTGAGCCCATGAAAATGTATCGATTCTTTGAGGGGCCCTGTGCTCCGACAAGAATCGATTATTTAGCTTAGGTTCTAAATGGAGGAAATCTGACGTTGCCAAATTGCTGGACCTGCCTCTGCTCCCTGGCGGCTCGTTTTTGCCTAAAACAAATAATGCTGAAGAAGCACGCGCAAAATAGAGTCCCTTCATACTGAGAGTCAAGACAACACCCCCATGGAGTCACAAACGGGAATAAAGATTACAGAAATTGAGCGTTTTTCGTAATCTTTGATCGGCTCATTCTCAAATTCCTCTCTCCGTTCCTTCTCTCATTCCGTTTGCTCCTTGCCAAACCCATAATTCCATGGTCCATTCCAGATTATAATCTTTGCAATCGGCAAAAATGTAATCTTTATTCCCGTTTGTGACACTGTGAAGGCCTAAAATACGGGAACCAATCAGAAATGGATTCAAATTGTCTTGACTCTCAGTAATAAAGGGACTCTAGCGCAAAATCCCCCCGAATGAGCTATTTTTGAGGGTTTACCGGTAAATTGAGGCTCCGGTTGCCAAAGCGCGATTGTTCTCTCTCCTCCAGGAGACTTTCGGGGGTGGAAACCCGTTGGCGTAACACTCGAGCTGTATTGATTGACCCTCGCTGACAACGAGTGATCGAGTAGAGTTGTCCGAAATGACGGGTGGGCGCCGAACGACCAGGTCCGTTTCAGCTGTGATTTTGTTCTGCAGGGTGATTATCACCTGGCACTGGTACACTCCAGCGTCCGTTTCTTGAAGATCATNGGAATGGACATTGGCAAAGTCCAACCCAAGTTTCAGCTCATTATATGCATTACATTCCGAGATAATCAAAAAGTCCTGATACTTTCCGGACAGACCACGTATGCCAACAAAAAGGTGAAAAATTCACTGAAAAGTGTTAACGCTTCAGAAAGTAGTTCTTAAGCCTCTGTTCAGCACATCGTGCGTAAAAGTACCTTTCTTTACCCCTGACTCTCTTCTTCCGTCCACTTAAAGAATTTTCCGCTTATATTCTCGGTAGTAATTTTTTTTTCTTCTTATTTTGCTATCTGTCAGAGGGGCGCGTTTTCGGCGCACCAAGGGGGCGTATCTGCCAATGGTATATTGGCCTTATGGCCAGTCCGCGCCTGTTAAAAAATGAAATATGTATGTAAATCAACCTTTGAAATTCTGGACGTCTTAACAGAGCCACGTCGCGTCGTGTCACTCCTATCTCCTGCCCCTTATTCATCCTAGTGTCTTATTATGCGATAAAACGTTAGAAATGGCAAAGCTATGACGAAAGCTTAAATTGGAGTATTACAAAGTCGAACTGCGGATGGATATTTAATGATTCAATTGCGCTCGTCAATGAATTGTGTTTTGATGCTTGATTCTTGTAGATCAGCTAAAAATAACAAGATCCGTCGAAACAGCAACTTTCTACGTTCAATATTAACCGAGATATCGCTCTTTGAAAAATTCTGATTATAACGGCATCCACCGCGGTAGTCACACCCTTGGTTTCATCCACCTTGCTTTTATACGAGTTACACGCTAAGTATAGCCAGTGCAAATGAGTGTTTCCCTGACAGATGAAAGCGAAGTGGAAGAATTCAAGGGTGTCATCATCGCGGTGGATGACGTCATAAACCGAATTTTTCAAAGCGTGATATCTCGGTCAATATTCAACGTAGAAAGTTGCTGTTCGGACGGATCTCAATATTTTTAGCTGATCTGCAAAAATCAAGCATCGACATACGATTCACTGGACGAAAAACACATTGGATCTAGAGTCCAGGCTCTTGAAAACATCGACAAGAAAAAATACTCTTGATTCAATCGAATTTTTGCTTGAATCAAAACGAATTCAGCTTAAATTAAGAGGCTTGGTTCTTGATTTAAGCTACATTCTGATTGATTCAAGAGTACTTTTTCTTGTCGATGTTTTAAGAGTCTGGACTCTAGATCCAATGTGGTTTTTTCTAGTGTTCTGGGATCAGCGCAACTGACCCATTTTGAACATTTTTTAACAAAAACTTAAGAAATCTGCTCTTGTGTTGATTACGTACCTGTAATGTTGATTATTAGTCAAAGCAACGTCATCTTTCATCCAAATCACTGCCGGGGGAGGATAAGCTTCAATATGACACTCGAGATCCATGTCGTATTGGAGTGCTTGGCCAAGTCTCGGTCTCACAACTTTGACGGAGGGTGGGAACTCCACTTCAACAGCGATGTGTCGTCCGGCTCCACGTCCAACTCCGTTCTCAGCCGTGCAGTAGTATGTTCCTCGATCGTCTTTGGTGATGTTTGCGATCTTGAGAACATTACCCCTTAAAGAAGAAGAAACCCGATGAAAAAAGTGTCTTTAGTGATGTGCAGGATCTTGAGAACATTATCCCTTATTGGAGATGTTGCATGTGTGAGGAATTTGCGATTTGACCAGCGATTCTTATGTAAAAGTTTGCGAGAAACACGATGGTGCTACTGGTTCTTTCTGAAATCAACTCCCAAGCTTAAAAAAGCTCTCAAGTTGAGGCCAAAATGGAGGGGATATCCCACGCTATCCTGAGAGTCCACCTCTACATCAAGACGATCCCTCCATGCCAAAGATAGGGAGCGAATACATTGACAGGGATACCGTGTTTTCAGTCTTAGAGTTCCCAAATAAAGTGACAGCCATGTCAGTGTATTTTCTCCCCATCTTTGCCTAGAGAGTTGATTCTTGATGTAGAGGTGGACTCTCAGGGTAGGGTGGGATATCCCCTTCATTTTGGCCTCAACTTGAGAGCTTTTTTTGAACTCGGGAGTTGATTTCAGAAAAAACCAGTGGCACCATCGTGTTTCTCACGAACTTTTACAAATAATCAACAGTCAAATCGCAAATTCCTCACACATGCATCATCTCCATTCCTTAGGGAAGAGGGTAAACCGGAGAAAAAAATATATCATTTTACCTATCAAAGCCCTGTTGAAGCACAAACCGAATAAGTACGAAGGCCATGATGAATTTTAGTAATTTACCAAATAAACCTAAGTTTGGAAATATTTTGACCGCTTTTCATTGTCAGTAGAGAGAAGCCGCACATATTAATATTGCGGTTTCTCGCTATATCTATGTGGTTACCCATTTTGCTAATTCAGCCCTGTTCAAACCATGCCGATGCCTTTAAACACGGAAATTTTTCATCCCAGAAACTGTTAAAAGGATGTATTTCTGTCAAACGGAACTAAGCGCCAATTTGAGTTCCTTTTGAGGAATTTAGAATCCCGGATAGCGCGTTCTGTCAAACGGAACTAAGCGCCATGGAAAAACATTGCAAGTATAGGACGGAACGAGCAGGACGCCCGTTTCCACCGCCAATCCAAGCCCCCCTCTACCTTCCTCCCCCTATGGCGCTTAGTCGCGTTTGATAAAAATACGTCCAAATATGTATGAAGGTTGATGTAAACAAAGAATCCGCAGTGCTGTGATTCTCACACTCCCTGTCATTGGCAGATCCAGCAAATTGGCAACATTGTCTTTTCTCTATTTAAACCCATGGAAATGTATCGATTCTTTGAGGAGCCACGTGCTCCGACAAGAATCGATTATTTAGCTTAGGTTTAAATGGAGGAAATCTGATGTTGCCAAATTGCTGGACTCGCCTCTGCTCCCTGGCGGCTTGTTTTTGCTCAAAACAAATAATGCTGAGGAAGCACGCGCAAATTAGAGTTCCTTTATACTGAGAGTCAAGACAACACCCCCCCATGGAGTCACAAACGGGAATGAAGATTACAGAAATTGAACGTTTTTCGTAACCTTTGATCGGCTCATTCTCAAATTCCTCTCTCCGTTCCTTCTCTCATTCCGTTCGCTCCTTGCCAAACCCATAATTCCCTGGCCCATTCCAGATTATAATCTTTGCAATCCGCAAAAATGTAATCTGAATTCCCGTTTGTGACACTGCGAGGGCCTAAAATACGGGAACCAATCAGAAATGGATTCACATTGTCTTGACTCTCAGTATGAAGGGACTCTAGCGCAAAATACCCCCCGAATGGGCTATTTTTGAGGGTTTACCGGTAAATTGAGGCTCCGGTTGCCAAAGCGCGATTGTTCTCTCTCCTCCAGGAGACTTTCGGGGGTGGAAACCCGTTGGCGTAACACTCGAGCTGTATTGATTGACCCTCGCTGACAACGAGTGATCGAGTAGAGTTGTCCGAAATGACGGGTGGGCGCCGAACGACCAGGTCCGTTTCGGCTGTGATTTTGTTTTGTAGGGTGATTATCACCTGGCACTGGTACACTCCAGCGTCCGTTTCTTGAAGATCATTTATCTGCAAACACACACATACACCGATAAAACTCCGATGATTTGTTTTTGGGTAAATGACCTCCGTTGAGCTGTTGCATGGTCCAAAAATGGACGTCGGTATTTCTACCAAACGGAACCATTGGGCTGATTATTGAAATTGATAGACAAAGATGACATAGGAAGTACGGAACAATTCAACTGGTTGGAAAGGGTGGTTCTTACTGGCTGAAAGGGAAAATGGTGGAATAACTGTCGGGTCTCTCGTCGCACAGTGGATCGAGTCATTAGGAGAGGTCGGACAAAATGTGGAAACTGTAAAAGCTTATAATTCCGTTTATACGTAACTTTGAGGTTTTAAAAATGGTTCCATTAGTTTTCTCGTGAAATGTTCCTTTAGAAGCACCCCTTAAAATTTAAAATTTGACAAAATAGACATCAAAAATCGTAGTTTTGGTCAAAAATTTCATGTCCGACCCCTCTAATTGACTCGATCCACTGTGCGTTGGTTGTCGTTCGTTAGTCTATTACTTAGCTCTTTTGTCCATTGTAACCGCCTGCTTCTACCAATAGGATCCCACCATATCCCTTCTGTCTTCGTTGTCTATAGCTTTGTCTGGCAATTTCAAAAATCGGTCCGCAGAGACAGGTGAGAAAGAAGGGGTGTGCTCGTTAGTCGAGGGTTGTAAGAATGAGTGGGAATTACAAAGCGCCAGTGACGTCAGCGGCAACGAAGCCGTCTCCGTTGTCGCTCTTAATCGGCGTTAACTCGTGAGCTGAGCGAAACTCTTTTCGAGTTTCCGTGTATCTTATTAATATTACTTTCAAGCTGACGAATTGAATTCATTTGTCGAATAACCAATACAAATATCCGTAGCTTGATCTTGATACATGCGACCGCAGCTCTAATACGCTTTGCTGCGAGGAAAGAAAAAAAGAAAAGAGAAAATAATGTTTCTACTTTTTTTGAACGAAGAGCCCCCCCCCCCCCAATACCTTGTCAGTGAAACCTCGAGGGGGGCGGGCAAAGGATAATTCAATTTGATTCTTTCAATTACGCAAACATTTTTTTGCCAGCCCCTCCATCTATGTAGCTAAGGGTATTCTTTGGAAGGGGCTTCTTCCCCTTCCTTTAGGCTTGAACTCAAGAGCAAGCATTAATTCGATCCAGGACGAAACTGCATGAACAAACCGTCAAAACGTAAGACATGGAGGCGGGAACATGTCTTATCTTGAATCGCTCGCTCTTCAAAATCAACGTCGTTCCGGTAGAGATGAGTAAAGATGTCTGTTTCTTTTTGTCCGTCTTAGACCACAGAACAGGATACTCTTCGGCGTACGAAACAGAGCAGACAATCTCCGCATTCCCACCTATATCTTTAATTTGCTCCTGAGAAATGTACGATATTGTTGGTGACCTTTGACATAATGCTGAAACAAAAGATATATTGCACATCGTGAATAAATGCTCTCACACGCCGAAAAATGAATGAAAAAAAAGAGATCGAAACGCTGAGCTCAGCATTGGCGGATCCAGCAAATTGGCAACATTGTCTTTTATCCTTTTAAACCTATGGAAATGTATCGATTCTTGAAGGGGCCAGGTGCTCTGACAAGAATCGATTTTTATCGATTATAGCATGGCATAGGTTTAAATGGAGGAAAACCGGTGTCGCCAAATTGCTGGATCCGCCTTTCCGGCTGAAGTATTTCAAGGATTGGTCGTGACTCAAGAATTAGCCGATAGCAGCATGCGGTCCTTGGGGGTCCATCAAATTTTGACAGGTCTGTTGTTTAGTATCTACATATTTGTATGGCAATAACAGGATAACAGCTTGGTGCAGTAAGAATAAGAGGTAATTTACAAGTGCACTTCTGGCCATTTAATATAGGATTCCTGGAAACAATGACGAGAAATACAAATATGTAACAGATAGGGAATTTTACCAATATCAGTCAAATTTTTTTGATGAGAGTAAAAAGTCTACTGAACCCAGCGAACTCTTTCTATTAGTTTTTGGCCAATTGATGTGATTGGAGATCATGCCGATTTTAAAACAATAGTAGAGTATGTGATGTCTGATATCTTCAACTAATCACCGTGCCGTAAAAAGTTATAATAGAAAGTAATTAGTTTTATATTTTGCACATCGAGAAAGTGCCTCCTGATCAGGAAAAGAACTTTTGAAATTGGAAAAAACCTCTCCATGACAAGAGATGTGTTTCTGAAGATGGTAATAAAAATAAGTGTTGTAGGCAATTAGCAATTGCTAGCAAATTGAAGTATATACCCATGTGTTGAATCAAAAACTTTAAAGATTTAAAAGTAACAGAATTGGAAATACTTATTACTGTGCTTTCAATTCAAGCAGACTGTTTTTTTTTCTGTTCGAATGCATAATACTATCAAGCACATTCGCAAGTAAGTGCGGTGAAATGAATGACTTTAGTTTGGTTCGGTTCGGATAGGCAACTAAACAAACTGCCTGACAAAGCGTAGAGTATCACCAAGATTTGAAGGCGCTCAAAGCCGGTTCGTACTAATAAGTTCTTCACCGATAAAGCCTTTACCAGTTCGGTGCAAATTATTGCAATTCGATTCGTTAACACAGAGACCTTTGCAAACGGCAATTACTGACTACCTGAAGAAATTCTTCAGGAAACACGTCTATCTACTACGGTCATTATTATAAGGTTTTGACGTTATTTTTTGATGAAAGGAATATTGATAAACCACAGATGTGCGTCTACTGGCTTCGTTTAGAAAAGAAAAAAAAATTATATTTTTTTGAACATCTGTCTTTGAACCATGGACGTATCCAATTTTTAAACATACGTCAATCGACATATATAGACATACGAAGTCTTGGAAATTTTTCGCCTTCAACGTTCTGAAATTACCAAAATCCGATTATCGAAGAAATTTTATTGCATAATTATTTCCTAACAAGTTCTGTGTTTTACACTGTCGATTAAAGCATTTTTCATCGTGTTTCTTGAATTCTCATTTCTGGCGCTTGAGTCATTTTAAGTATGGCTGATTCTAATGAAAGCCTAAAGATTCTGGAGGCTTTTTATGCAATTCTTTGTGGTAATTACAAGGCTCTCTAGTGGGAATATGCTATTAATCTGGAAGAATATGTACAAAAGGCAACCAGAAATACTTCGTCTTTTAGCACCATTAGCATACACAGAGACTTACATTTACACACCTTTAGCTCGGTCAGCTGAGCAATTTTTACCGTGGGTGTGGTATTACAATGGTGTCGTAATAAAGTATGGAAGATACATTCAGAAATGTTAAAAGTCATGAACGAATTTCTACTTACAGAAAGTAAATTTCTCCGCCACAAACACAGCCGTTATTAAAAAAAAGATTTTCATGTTTTTCTTTCGAAATACACTCGGAATGAGAAACTATATTTAACTGTTCAGAACACGAAGAAAGTATTTAGGACTCACTTTGATCGGAACGCGTAATGAAATGATAATCAAGGGTGTATTTCTGATGATCTTTGACCGGCAAACTAACGATAGTGACACGCTTGGCTCCAATAAGGGGCTGAGTAACATTGAACATTGATGCCTATTCCTCGTTAAAATCACCGTATTTTCTGTTTTCTCGACTGCGTTCGGGTGTAGTCCATCAGAAAATAAAGAAATCTCACTCGGTCTAATCAGAGCAAAAGAGGTTTGACGTTCTCTTTTGTCATGCCACTCTTTACAAAAACAGAGCTCTTTTACAGTTTTCGTAGCTTAACATTGATGGCCAAAGTGCGAAACCACCTATCTCCATTCAAAAATTTGGCCTCAATTTTAAAGTTTCGAAGGGAAGCGACCCAACTTCATTACTTCAAATGTTTACAGAATATTCTACCAACAGAGCGAAGAAAAATCAAGGACGTTTTCACTAAATTACGCTCATCGGTTTGTCGAAGCAAAAATAATGTATTACAGGAAGTCTGCAACATTGCAAACTGAGATACGCGGTTTTGCACTATAGCTATCGGTATGAAGCTGTTGCACACAGTAGCGTGATCCTGATATACAAGTAGCACAGCGCAACGAAATTATTGAAATAAAGTTGCGATTTAAAAAATTGCAATTTTTCTTCCATGAAAGTGCAACATTTTTACATCAATGATCAATAACCGCCGATTTTTAACAATAAACAAAATGAGTTCCATGTGTCAGAGAGATAAGCAATACGTAATGCAACGAGAATTCGCATCTTACTTTAATTTTATTTCAATAAATTCCAATAAAAAGTGCTCCTTCAATCAGAAGATAGGCAACATACGTAACACTACGATGCAGTAGCAGGATAATTTTAACATGTAGATTGCAATTTATTGCAATCTTCACTACGAGGGAGGTTAAGCCATCAACATGCATTCTTAACTGAGAACCCTGCATTTTCCAGGTTTAAAGCTCCCGGTCACATGGATGACGTCTTGCAATAAGGGACCACTATCTCTGGCTCTTCCTTAAAAGCACATATCTGCATAGGGAAACCAATGTAATGCATGTTGTTTCTAAAGTGGGCTAGAAATAATGGTTTCTTATTGCAAAATGTAATCTACATTTCATTTTTATTTAGTTAATTCAAGTTAATTTCTACCGTGCTGCCAATACTTGGTTGCCTTTTTTTAACAAGTGCATTGTGGTTCTTAATATCGTACCCTATCTAGTGATCCAATGTCAATACTACGAGACTACGGACCATGGAACGGGTTCGATCTTAGCCGTCCTTGCCGTTTTTACGGGTTTGGAGTTTTTCAACCACAAGATATGATGAATTTAACCTCAAGATTTTTCAATTCAAAAATGTTGGTAATTTCAACTGAAAGGAAAACCAACCAAAAAACTTAAGGGATTTTGGGTTACCCCTTAAGTCGCGGTGATCGCGATAAATAGCAATTTTATAGGTTAGTTATCGCGATTATATCGGCGGCAATAAATCGAGGTATTATCGCATTAAAAATTGCGATTTATGGCGATTAAATCGCTACACATCGCAATTTTTTGTTCGACAAAATTGCGATCAATTTTCGTCGATAAAATCGAGATTAAATCGCCGTTTATCCCGATTTTTATCTCGGAAATATCGCGATAAATTACCCGGCAATAAAATCGCGATTTTATCCCGATAACTTCGAGGATAATCGCTCAGATGTAGGTGATCCTAGCGATTTTATCGCCGATAAAATTGCAATATATCCTGTTTTTTCCGTTGAAAAATACTGCTTGGATTATTGTTCTACTTCCCTTATCAACGCTAAGCGTTAATTTTTCTTACCAAGTAAACGATAATTGGACTGCATTTTGCATTTTGGAACTATAATTCTGACTCTTCTGGAAAAACATTTATGTGTGTAGGGAAACTGATGGCACATACGTTGCTTTTAAACCGGGCTAGAATTTATAGTTCCAAATTGCAAAATGTAGTCCAATTCTTGCTAAGCCTAACTGAACGTAACTTGACATACTTACGACTACATATCGACCCAGAAGGCTCCACCCGATGCCTCTTCGATGTTCTTCGCATTTTTCCGCAATTCCTTGATTTTCTCTTTGAAGCTGATTCTTTGGTTCTTTATATTCGGCTTGGGTCGTTTGCCGTGGCATTCCACTGAATGACGCTCTTTTTCCGTAGGAGAAGGGGGTCGTTTCACAAAAACCGGGTTCAACACGGTGTAAGTTCCTCTCCGCATGAGTTTTCTTCTTTTCTCCACTAAAGATTTCTCCTTCTCCCCGATACCTGGCAGAGGTATGTACTTGGAGAACAAACTTTTTGCTGAGCCAGAGCTTGAAGAGTCGCCAGATTTCTGCTTGTTAATTAGGTCGATCACTGCTCGCTGATCAGGTTCAACCGACGGAGACGGCAATGCCTTCGATTTTGATCGGAACTTTTTTAATTTGTTCGAAGGGGCGCCTGGGGATGGCGGCGAGGAGATCGCTCGATCCTTTTTTTTAAATAAAAATTTCATCATCTTCTTAAATTGATGCATCTTGTTGCTGAGTCTCCTACTGTCGTCTTGTGTTTTTGGAATCCTGAGAAATTTTGACTGTGTTTCGGAGCATGCTTTTATTTAGTTATCTCTCTTCTTCTGCGATTTTTGTCCCGTAAAATCAGTTTTTGAAGATTGCACGATTAGATCCAAAGTCTATATAAAATTTCTACTTAAAAGATCCCTCTTTCTCTCTTGCTCAACTACTTACTCAACCTTTTCTGTCAGATGAACTTTCGTTTTGAATATTTGTTGAGAACTACAGTATTTCACTCAAATCCGCCAAAGTTCTCAATTCTTCGTGAATTTTGAACCACAATGCTGGCAGCAGTTTGCTCTTTATTATTAACACATTTTGGGCCCAAATCATGTAGAAATTGTCGTTAGGAAATAATCATTCATTAAAATGAGCAATATGTTGGGTTCGAATTTAAAAAAAATTCTTATTTCAAACGAAAAATTTGCAAGATTTTTATACAAACGCATGAAAAAAGCAACCTTTTTTAAAATGAATTTTATGAAATTTAAGTTTTATGCACAGAAATTATTACGTAGTTAACCATTTGTTTTCTTTTATTCAATGCACTGCACTCAATCTAGTTCGCAATCCATGATTGTACCTTTAAAATTCTTTCTTTGGAGTAAGCGAAAATTTGAATCTTGATAAAAGGGTTAATAGACACTCGATGGAATTAATAGGTCCTATTTGAAAAAAAAGTCACATTCCGCATTTGCTCATCCGCGTCATTCCTTCAAGCAAATTCTCCAGTCATCATTGAATCTCAAATTACTTTTAGTTCTTCTCGAATGAATAAAATTCACTGTCTAGAATTTACCTTCCACGCAAAATTTTGTCAACTCGCGATTGCTTTGATTAGCATTTAAAGTGATTACGTTTGCACTGGTTTCTGCTGGAATCAAAACATTGGAGGACTACACAACAAAGATGCCTATTAGGTATCTTAAATTGAACGCGAACTAAGTCTTTTGATTTAACCGTCACAAAAAAGGCTCTTATTTTTTCATCTACTCCATTATCGGGCAACTCCAAGCGGGACGTGGAAGAAGAGTTTCATCCTATCTGCACGTGTGAGGGATTTAAATATTCTCGCATCGATTATGGATCGTGGCACACCGCCGAACTGTCCGCGGTAGAGGTGATAGTACAATCACTTTTGGAAAATCGAAAACCTGACTCGCATTGAAAATCAAGTTGAAGGGCGAGCATCACTGAGCTCAGACGTTGGATGCGGCTCGGGGCGAATTCTGCTTCGTTCAGCTCCTAGTGCCAGATACCCTGCGGTACGGAAAAATCAATAGTGTAGATGTGCACCACTATTTGGACCGAGTTTAACAGAAACGCAACGCTCCAAGTGGACGTATTTCTGCCGAACGGAAATATGTGCCTCGATGACGTGAGCCCTGATATACATATATTCTTATGGGTCTCAGGGCTCATGTCTTAATGCATAGAGTTCCGTTTGATAGAAATACGTCCAAGTCGCATCTAGTTTGAACCGAGTGAATTAGATTTGAAAAGTTCGCCATACGTGTTTTCTTGNGGGGGGGGGGGCTGGTGTCGCACCTCTGGTATTGTCAAGAATGAGTTTGCTCAAACCCAAATAAAGAAAGAGTTACCCAGAGAGTTAAAAGAGCACCAAGAGTTACCAAAGAGTTAAACTCAGGGTTAGAAACCCGTCCCTTAACGAGGCAAAGGAGAAAGTGGGAAGAAAGAGATAACGAAGGAAGAAAATTTATCAAAATTTTGACTCAAGTTTATTTCTCGGTCCTGATTGTTAAATTGGTGAAGTTCAGACTATGACCATTCCGGGCTTTTCAGTCCATCTTCAGGCTTCAACCTCAAAGAGGAAATTTAGTCCTTTCGGAGATCTAGAGACTCGGTGTCAAAGACAAAATGTTATGAAAATGTTCACGTTAAACAAAAACATGTCTCATTGGCTTTGAATATTAGGTTAGGAAAAATTTAGGGAGGGTTGAATTTAAAGGTACCCTCAACTCATTGTTTGTGTAACACACGAGTACCGTGTAAGTAAAGTTGTCCATCCACTAATTGAAGGGGCTCCTCTGATTGGAATTCATCGCAATAAAATTGTAAAGAGTTACCTATATGTGTTTCTTTTTTTATTTCATGCAAGACAGATACTTTTCTTTCTCTCGCATGAAACTTATTTTGTTGAGCATTTCAAATCGGCAATTGTTGACAAAAGTATGTGTAAAAATACTGCAATATTATGGTAAAAAATTACAATTTTTATCGTATTACGTCGTACAATTATTGCAAAAATAATTCAATTTTTTCATAGCGCTGGTGTTACTTGGGATAAGTTGCGGTTTTGTCTTTTGTGTACAGCGGCATCACCCCAGTCAATTTCAGCCTATAAACTTCATATCGATGGATGAAGCGCGAGACCACGTATCTCTGTTTGCAACGTTGCAGATTTCCTGTCATACTTTATTGTTTCCTTGAAAAACTATAGTCAATGTAGGTAACTTGTTGGAAACTTCCTATTCTCTCGTCTCTGTCAGCAGAATATTTTGTAAAAATTGAATGTTATAGAGTTGGCGTGTTATCTTTATAAGAAGTAAAGTATGGAATGAAAATTTTGAAACACAGCGATAGAGAAACGTGATTCCGCACTTTGGCCATCGATACATGGATCAATGACGGTTTTTTTTTTTTTTTTTTTTTTTTTTTTTCTTTTTTTTTTCCAGCATGTGAAGTTGGAGTTTACTGCTCGTTTATAAATACTGAGCCGCTTGAACCGCTGTCATGCTAACTCATGTCCCAGTTGTAAAATTCAATTTGAACATTGAATTTCTAAAATTGAATTATGACATATTTGGTAAATTTATTACTGGTTCATTTTATCCATAACTGATAAAAATTCTTCGATAAGGGAGGAATTAAAAAAGATGATCACGTAACGAATGAGAACATAATGTAATTCAAAATAAAAACGACAGAACATATGATACAACAAATAGTGATTTTTCAGCGCTAGGAAATTTTGGAACGTCTGATCATCAAAAGTTTTAATGCGTATATCACATCAATATCACAATCACGATAAAATATTTTATTGGCACGGTAAAAAAGAGAAAACGATAATACTTTAATACTAATAAAATCGGTTGAATAAAAGGAGAAGCAATCGCCTGAGATTCCTTGCAAGTGATAGGATCAGACGAAACGAGACTTAGGATTGAAAACATGAGAATTTGACTCGTACAAATATTTAAAATTACAAAAATTGACCCTTAGGTAGTGTGTTTTTCAAAATTAGAGGACCATATTTTTGCAAATCTGAGAAGTAGGTACTCAAAATTGGACGTATTTCTATCAAACGGAACTATGTGCATTATGACGTGAGCCCTGTTATGCACACATTCTTATGGGTCTCAGGGCTCATGTCTTAATGTACACAGTTCCGTTTGGCAGAAATACGTCCAATCGAAGAATCTACTACCATCTTTAAAATAGTTCCGTTCAAACAACGTTACTTCCTAATGCAAACTATGACTCGACCAGTGACGAGGCGTAAATGATCGATTTTCGATATTTCCACATTTGAAGCTATGGTAAAGGATCGATTACTAAGGGATTCGCTGCGAGCACCCTGTTTATCGATCCTTTTCCATAGGTTTGAATGACGGATCAATCGATATATCGTAAAGCACGCCACGCCACTGGATTCGACTTCCTTGAGACGATTTGGTAGCGCTCATAACATCGGAAACTGAAGATTGATGTTTCAATTCAAGCATGCACGCATTATTGCATGCAGTGTCGATGAACTGGAAGATTTGACCTTTCACCTCACGTTCCGTTTCGCCCGACATTGTCACATGCGACGGAAAACGGTGAATTGGGCCTTAAACCTTGAAGAATTGAGCGAATTGGGTCCCGTGTCAAACCGGGTTCGGTAGCTCATTTGACTGTCATTAAACTGAAAACCGAGCTGCGTAGTAGCCGAAAGGAACAACGCAGGCGCAGGTCATTTGGACTACATTTTGCAATAAGGAACCACTATCTCTGGCTCTCCCATAAAACCGCATATCTACCCACGGAAACCGATGGCACGTATGTTGTTTCTGAAATGGGCCAGAAATAGTGGTTCCTTATTGCAAAATGTAATCCATTTAAAGGCTCTTTTTGATTTTTGTAAAGTCCCCCGCCCCCTTTTTTCTCTTCAATTTTATTGCCTCGCGTATATTTCCTCGCATTATTTTCACCGATCAAAAAGTCGATCTCTGAACCGTGAGAATAGTGTTTCATCTCGGCCGTATAATTCGGTTCACGAAACATCGTACTCTCGGTTCTCGGTCTCTCGGTCCGTGCAACCTAGCCTGGTTTGAGAGTTCGGTCGCATGAACCGAAGTTACGGTTCGTAGAACCGCGAGAACCAACTAGTACGGCCGGTATGAATCACTGTGCTTACGGCTCATAGACCGAACTTTTTTTCTTGGTATATCGCCGATATATGCGGGGTTTTCTATACATCAAGCAATAGTAACGCGGACCCAGAATAAACGATTCGCCCCCGATTGCTATATCGTAACCCTCTAGCCGAAGTATCACAAGCGCCATGCGACGTTTCAAAATTTCCGCGGCCAATTTATTTTTTACAGACATTGTTGGTGAAATCTCTTTAAAAATTTCACTGAATTTTATCGGCAGCAAAAAGATAATTCGGTGAAATTTTCGGACAGCCTCGTTGATCAATTTCTTTGTAAAAAAATAAAATGGCGGCGAAAATTTTGAAACTTCGCATGGCGCTTTCGATACTTTGGCGCGAAGGTGACGATATGAAGGGAAGGGGGCGGAAGTTCTCAGGCCCAGTTATTAATTTTTTTTAAAAGCAGAGTCTGGAAACTTTGAGTCGACCATATTTTACTTTTTGGCGTCTGCCATTTACGTAAAACGATTTGTTTTCATATTGGTACCGATCCAGACACGGGATCCAACTCTCTCGGAACCCGCTTCATTCATTCGGGACCCACTTCATATTCGTTTCATTCGACATCCTCCAGAATAATAATGGCAGTTGGCAGAGGAGATCGTACTCATGGATTAGTTTGACTCCGACAATCGCTCCCTTAATGCATTGATTTCAGCCTGGATTGCAGACGGTAGATCTGGACCTAACTGGTTTATGAGATATTGATGGACCTCGTCGACCTGGAAAAAAGAACATGGTCTGTTAAGTACTTTTTCATTCGTACGTCAAAATAATGTCATTCGTGCAAATATTCGGGACAGATTTCTTTAATCTTGTGGTCTGTCTCCCCGCACCATAATCAATGTCATCTATTTTGGTCGAAACTTCCGTTAGTTTTATCTTTAATGTATCTAAAAGTAAAGTACCATCATTGGAAGAGTACGTTGTTGTGAGCTACAACCAACTGGATTGAATTTTGCTAAAAGGAACCAAGAGCATTCCCATTTTGCTTGATTGTGTAATTTACATTATTTGCAAAAAAACATTGAAATTGTGCAGGAAGTTAAATTCACTGAGGTAATTTTTCTTTTGAATTGGAGTAAAGATGAAACATGTTTGAATGATCAGTTTATAATTGATTTCAAGATAAAAAAAAGTTGCAAAACCTTAGTAACATTGTAATACTCTTGGTTCCTTTTTGCAAAATGCAGCCCTACTGTTGTCACAAGTCGGAAACGCCTTCAATTTCGCGTGATACCTCATTACCCACACCGGAGTTAAAATATTTGTATCAAAAATCGTTACGCACTTTGATAATATCTCGTGGGATCTTTCAATACTTGATCGAACATACATGAAGTATTGTCTTACATTTAGTCAAAAAAACCTTAATGGAAAGTGTGTCACCCTTTCCATGGGCATCCCCTTCTTCTCCTCTACTTATTCCTAGCCCTCCCGTAATAGAAGTTCAAATTACATAGATTCCCTCAAACACATGTGATGCGCAAATTGGGTATCAAAAATGACCATGAGTATGTATGATTTACTGTGTCGTATACGTGAGTTTTACGTCGATTCAAGCAAAAAAAAAACTCATTATCTATAATACTTTAAAATCATTTGAAACACTTTTGAATATGTATGCAACGTGTAACCCTTTCTTCTTATCCTAAGAACTCCTCGAAGCCTTCTTGAGATGACTTCGGCTATCAGAAAAAAATCCTCCAGTGGCCATTTTCTCCCTATGAAGGTACTCTACGTAAAGAAACAGGTTTCATTACAGGTCATTTCTGCCGTGCCAGGGAAGAACGCCGTATGAACATTCAGATGTTGCCAAATTTCCTTCGACAAAAATCGAATTTACTGAGAAAATAGTGAATATTTTTTTTCCAAAATTTTCAGACAGTTCCGTACACAATTTGATCTAAAAAATCTGAAAATGTCAAAAAGAAGGTGCATGAATGTCGTCAAAAATACATGTTTTATCAAGGGAAATTTGGCAACTCTGGAATGTTCATACGGCGTTCTTCCTTAGCACGGCAGATTTCCGGCCTCGTCTTTATCGGGCTTGGCTTAATACTTCCATAATTTGAAAGAAATAGTTTGAGAGAGGGGGAGGGAGGGAAAGAGAGAGAGAGAGAAAGTCAATGCAAATTATTTTGCCGATCACAGCGCAAGCAAGATGGGCGCAGCCGTGCGTTAAACTCAAAATTCCAAATAAATCCAAGATTTTGAAAATCCCTTATTACCTCTTTCAGCCAGAACTCCTTGTCGACAGCTGCTAAGAGTGTAAAGTCGACGGGCGTTTTGAGTCCTTGTGACGGGATTGAATCGTTGGTGGGGACGTAACCAATAGGAGTCTTTTGTGCGATGCTTCCGATACCATCGACCCGACGCAAAATCCAGTCGAGTACACGGGAATTTTCACCAAAACCAGGCCACATAAAATGTCCCTGCAAGTCATAAAATTGATTTCTCGTTCGTTAAATTGAACTGTGATGCACATACACCTCACTGAAAATGGAGAACTGTTGCAAAGGATACACATAGAGAAAACAATGGTCGATTCGGTCATATGACTCGTTAGTATAGTGTTACACATCCACCGCACTTCAAAGTAGCAGTGATCCCGGTAAGTTGCGATTTAATCGAAGAATGTGTCGTAATATTATCGAAAAAAAAAAATTGTGATAAATTGAGATAAATTTTCGATTTTATTGAACGCGATTTCGTGGAGATAAAATTACGCTAAGATTGAGGGTAATCGCTCATGCTGATGGTCCTGGCGATTTTATCGCCAAAAAACGTAAAAAAATCGCAAATTAATTCCAAAATATTGCGATTTTTCCGACGAAAAATGATACTTGGGCTATTTGGTTAACGTAACTGTACTCATGAGCTAATGTCACGGTTGCCACACGATCAAACTGCGCTATCAACGTATCAAGGTCGGATGTTATGTGATTGGCTTATTATTCGATCACTTGGATCAATCTCAGCATTTGACTTTGATATATCGATAGCATGGTTTGATCGTGTGTCACTGACTTTGGTTCTACGAACTGTATCTTCGGTTCATGCAACCGAGCTTTCAAACGGAACCTAAGTCCCAAGTAACGCAAGTTGCAATGAATACATTTGCATGGTAAACTTCATGGTGTCGGAATGTAGTGCGCGTTGTATGTTCGCAAATTGAAGGGGCTCCTCTGTATGGCATTCGGATTCGTCGTAATAAAATTGAAACAAGTGCAACATTTTTTGCATTGCAAATTGCCTACCTTTCTCAGACGTCGAATTCATCTTGTTGATTGTTTAAAATTGGCATTTACTGACCATATTATGTAAAAATATTACAATTTTTTTCTAGTAAAATAAATTTAAAAAAGTTTCCATTACACAGCAAAATATTTAATTTCATTTGAAATGATGAATCCGCGGGCAAAGAAAAGCGACTGTAGTTATATTATAAGTTTTAAATAAGCTAAGGGTCTATGACTGGTCTACGGAATTGTGTATCGTTATAAGATTGTGTATATACCTTGGAGTCTTTTCTGAACCAGTTGACGTGGAAGATTTTCGGCAGGGTCACGTTTGGTTTCTTTTCCATGCTAATCCAGTGGGCTAAATACTCTCCAAAATTGTAACCAAAGAACGGTCGCATTGCGAATGGATCGTGCATGATTACTTTTCCCTAAAAAAAAAGAAGTAATACATTACATCTAAGAAAATACATGGGTGGATACATTTCATGCTGCAGTATTACGTCATTTTATTGATGCGTCCAAAGGCTGCAATGTCTTGTGGGCCTGCAATTAACCACTTTCACATTCTCTCTATACGTCACAAAATTGGACTGTGGACGTTGCACATCCTATCTCACCACCCTGCCCAAAGGTCGGCCCAGTTACCCTCAACTCATGTACTTTCACCACCGATTACACCTCTTCTATTTCTGTTATTTCTAATTTTCAACAATATATTTCTGTATTTCAATTGCCAACTTGAGCTTAGGATATGACTAACTTTTCTTTGACCTCATCGATGCTATACCTGGTAATGTAACAAACTGATACCATAATAAAATACTCAATCGCTGTTTTGTGGAAGCGCGATTTTGCTACTCGAGCCGTTCTTGCACCTAACTCTTCAATTTGTTTGCCGAAAAAATGAGGCATAACACAATCGCATTAATAATGTGTGAAGCCCATTTTGCGTGGTATTAAAACAATTAAAGTAAGGATAAAACAAACCGAAACACGCATTTATTAACGTTAAAAATTGTAAATATCACTAATTAAAATAAACGATAATATCAATTTGAAAAGTTAAAAAATGTGTATTTCAGTTTGTTTTATCCTTATTTTTAACAATCGCAGTGTTTAAAATCTCCAGGAACACGTGTTTACGTTGCCGTTCAAATGTTGTAAAAACTATGGATTTTCATTATGATTTCAATACTTCTGAGGCCATGGATGAATGCAGAGGTGTGAGTTTTCAAGGAGATAACCGCACACTGAAAAAAAAATCTCGGCGTTTTTACCACGGTCCGTTGGTACCTTTACCATCTCACTTTTTTTACCAATTATTGGTAATTTTACCAAGACAGACTGGTAAGCTTACCAAAAACCGGTATTTTTACTCTTTTTTTAGGTAAGAATACCACTTTTATTGGTAATCAATTCCCGGTAACTTTGCCATTTTATCTCGGTAATTCTACCACAGTCGATAAAAAATGTTGGCGTTTTTATCTAGATCCAGTAAAATTACCGAGAAAGTTCAATAAGTTTACCGAGATTTCTCGGTTAAATTACCAATTCCATTAATGGTAATTTTACCAAGAAAAAACTGGGATCAAATAGAACCCTGACTTCTTGGTAATTTTACCCTGTTCTTAGTAAATACACCGAGATTTTTTTTTCAGTGCAATGCCTACCTTGTGCTCTGCGGCTGCCGTTGCTTCAGACCTCATCGATGCACCGACGTAGACCCCATGATGCCAATTAAGGGCCTCATAAACCAAAGGCACACCTTCCGGTCTCCTTCCGCCGAACAGAATCGCACTAATTGGCACTCCTTCTGGATTCTCCCACTCTTTGTCTAAAATCGGACACTGACTTGCAGGTGTACAGAATCTGTTGGGCAAAAGTCACGATTAAACTACGAGGTTTTGTAATGGTCCATTTTAAATTTTTTGATATCTCGCGATTCACAATAGGGAAAACCCTTAAAATTAGTGTCCCAAAACATTTAGCGGAGATTTTTATTTCTTGGAGGAAATATGGCTCTGTAAAGTAGACAAAGGTGATCTAATAATTTTAAAACGGTCACCACTACTTTTTGCCTGGTTAAAGCATGATAAAAAAATTTTGGCGCAAATACTATGTCTGTATAGACTTTTTTGCACAAGTGTGGTGGATCCAATTTTCGTTAATCGAAACTTCTCATTATTCAGCACTTTCTCATAGGTTTTATAGCCCATTTACGAATTGTAGCCAGCCCTTTTTTCCGCTATCTCGGATTTAAAATTGCAAACAACTAGGTAACTTCAAATTGTAATTACCTACTTTGGTCATACCGAATCGAATACCAAATTTCATGAAAAATCGTAGGTAAGCAGTATTTTTATGAATTATACCTAGCTTTCATAATTTTATCGATATCTCGGTGTCAAAAAATGCAAGAAATTAATTTGTATTTTTTGAGTCTACATACTTTCGTATGCACTAATTTCTGTGGGATATGCTACGTCGAAAACAGGCATTTTACGGCTCTCAAGGGTGTTCTTTTTTGAATAATTCTTTTGCGTCTATACTTCTACGTGGTTGATAGTAGGTAAGTAGCTCTAATAGAGCTTCTGTGCGCTCTGCGACATTCAACCGTCACTGACAGCAATCTTGCCAGATACGTAGTTAATACCATGGCGGACTATAACACTATAGACGGAGAGCAAGGCGCGGCGACATTTAAGTTCATAAAAATAAAAGGATGGAAATCCCAAAGGGTGGCAAGGGAGGGTGAAAATTTTCAAAATCGCGGTATCACTGTTTTTACGCGTTTTAAGCCTCCTGAATGCATCACCAAAAGTTTCAACACATTTCATTTCCATCTCTGGTTATGGTGCTTAATTTCTTCCCCGCTCTAGAGATCAATTTTATCCTAAAAGTCTATTTATTTATCTATATTTCTCGTGTACAACAGACCCATTCCGAGAGCCGCGGAGAGGAACCGCGGAACTGAGGAAGGAAGCTTACAGTGAGTAATTGCCGTTGAGAGGGATTTCGCTAATGTGTTATTGAGGATTTTGGTGGCGAGGGTAGTGTGGGGGGAGGGGGGAGGCTAGGGATTAACAAAACTAATTACTCACCTCGAGTTCGGGTGTGCAGCAGGTGTTTTCATTGTGGGGTTCCAGGGATTCCCTTTCCAGTCGGTGATCTGTACGCCGGGTTCAATATCCATTCCTTCCCAATAGACCCCTCCGTCACTTGTTGAAGCTACGTTCGTGAAAATCGTGTTCTCAAAAATCGTACGCATCGCGTTTGGATTCGTTTCGTTGGACGTTCCTGCAAGCAGAGATTCAGCGGGCGGTTCAGTAATTAAGCGCTTCCGGCGTCAATTTTTCAACGGGGGCGTCGCGAGGGTAAACTGTCATCCGCGCAAACAGCAATTTTGGCGTCTCCTTTCCTGACCGATGGATGAAGGAAAGAAATAGAAGGAGAGGTGGAGGAAGATTCTCAAGTAGCAGAGGTTGCAACAACTTGCAACAAAATCGTTTGATTCTTGCAACTAATAGATTGATGTGCAGATTGCCTAATCTCTCTCCCGAGGGAGCTATCATTGTCGGAACTAGTTGCAATTAAGTTGAAACATGGTTCAACTTCAAAGTATTGCTGGTTGCCTATCTTTAAATTTTAAACAAGTTTGGTTCAGCAATTTTGCAATCTCAGCAGGTTGCAACTTTTTCTTCCGATCAGATCGCCGAAAATCGGCACTTACCTATCGATCAAAAGTTGACCGTAAGTTGCAACTTTGTTGCAACTAATACCAACATATTGTTTCAACTTGTTGCAACTTTTACATTGAAAAATGCTACTTGGGTTAAGATAAAGAGAAAAAGGGAAAGAAATGAAAGAAGGAGAGGAAGAGGAAGAAAAAAAGTTATGGAAAGGAGAAAATGAGGAAAAGAAAGAGGAGGTACAGGATGGGAGAAAAGAAAAAGGAAAGTAAGAAAAAGAGGTAGTAGAGAAAGAAGAAGGAAACAATTTTCAAAAAGTTGGTGCCCATAGCCTCGCTCGATCCAGGAGTTCCTTTTTGGGGGGGGGGGGTCCCAAAAGTAGTTTCCTTTGACAGAAGAGATTTATCAGAATTTCAAGTTTCTATCTTAATTTCTTCAAAAGTTACAAGGGTGTCCTACGACTTTTAAGTCGCTCTGAACCCCTAACTTAAAAGGAGACGGTCAGTCTTCGGTCATTTTCATTTTCAATCTTTCGATACGCTCAACTGACACCCTTATTTCGAAATTTTGAGAGATAGTCGGTCGGAAAATAATGTTATTAAAATGCATGGTAGGCCAAAAATCACCGTCGTGCACGCATCTATCTGATTATCTGCTTGTGAGATCTTGCCTTGAAATTTGTCTCTACAATGTCCCTCGACGTAAATTACCTTCAGTTTGGCTAGGGGTATTATACTTGCAGACCATCACTGGTTCATTGTGCCTACTTTACAAATTCTTACTCATTCTTCTCAATACTTACAAATTCTCCATTGGAGAATTTGCATGCAAATTTTTTATTGATTCATCTGAAAGTTCTGAAAGAGCTGATTTCACAGTATTTTTTATATTTTTTTTCTGACATGGTAAATAGTGTAAAAATTGATTTAAAAGGGGAAAAATGCACCGCCTAGTGACGTCATCTGGCGGCATTTCCCATTTAAACACACGTATTTTAGCATATTAGATCATTCTGTCATATCCTCTCCAATAATTGTTGAATTCATGAACCAAGGGCATCCTCGTGTTCAGTTCACTCAGTAGTTTCAATTTAAATACGAAAGTCATCAAATTTCAGACACCTGCAAATTCTCCAATGGAGAATACTTGAAGCCGAGTACTTGAAATAAAACTATAAAGATTGTAAAATGTGAATCACTGTATGTTTCTAACCTGGCGCAACACCAAAGAATCCGTTTTCAGGATTAATGGCCCGTAGCTGTCCTTCACTATCGAATCTCATCCACGCGATGTCATCGCCGACAACTTTGACTGAGTAACCTTTTAGTGTTGGTGTCATCATTGCCAGGTTGGTTTTACCGCAAGCACTCGGAAACGCAGCTGTGATGTACCTCTTCACTCCGTCTGGGTTTGTTATTCCTAAGATCTACGAAACACAGAATACCCAGTTAAAAAATTAGTATTTATTAAAAAGTCATGCAGGATTTACGTAATGTTGCACGTTGATAATGAATTTAAAATGTAAAAAAACACAAGAAGAACCTCGGTTCTAAGAACTACAGCAGTGCTTAGAATTTCTCTCGCTCATTCTTTATGTATGATGCATGTTAATGAAAGTTCGGGAGTGCCTTCAATTTTTGAACGTGCAACACGTACACTTGTGCAACTGATAGTTGCATCAAGGAGCCATAATGAACTCAGTCCTTGTAAAGCGCGAGCGCCTTCAGTGTTTGAATATGCACCACGCACATCCGTGGAACATGAATAGTTGCATCAAGGCGCTACGACCAGCTCCGTCTAGTCCTTGTCATCATCCCAGAAAGTATACGTAGATTGTCCTTTAAGTTCAGATACTTTGCATATTTTTTCAGGATATCAACATTTTTTAAGGGTCTGTCTGATTCTTTTCGGCGAAAAGTTTAGATTACACCAAAATACCTTTGCTCTCTACTACTCATCTTTCTTATCTCCGTCTGGTCCAGATCTCTGTTTTTGAACTTAATGTAGCAATGCAGGATCTTGGTGAAAGATAAAGTGTGTCCATGGAAAAATAGATTGAATTGAGGCCACTCACCAACATATGTTCTGCGAGCCAGCCTTCTTTTCTCGCTAAGGTAGATCCGATTCTCAGGGCGAGGCATTTTTTCCCCAACAAGGAGTTTCCTCCGTAACCACTGCCATAACTAACTATTTCGTTCGTTTCGGGTCTGTTAGGATCATTAAAGATACACAAAACACTGTATTAGTAAAGCAAAATGGAATAAAATATCAATGGTTAGATTCAACCTCCCTTCTTACTCCGTCGAGGTGAAAATTATTTTCTCTGGAGCAGGTGCCCTCTGTATAACCAAGTTCTAAATAAAATTCCACTACATTTTGAAATACGAAAACATCTTTAATAAACTTTAAATAATTCGTAATAGGTATCTTTTATTTTCTCTAAAATTCTTTTTAGGAAATTTCCAGAAAAGCTCCCCCGACCCCCGACCCCATCTCTGTTTTCGGGTGTATTCCGTACCCTCCAAACCCTTTAGGTGAGGGATGGATGTTACAGCTTACCCCACCACCATTGCCACTGAATGACCAGATACACCTGCGAGTCACAAGCTATTGTTGAAATTGAAACACCAATAGGCAAGGAGGATTTCGATAGCTCGACGTAGAGCGATCGAAATCCTGTGTTCCTATTGGTGTTCCACTTTCAACAACCACCTGTAACTTGCAGGTGTATCTGCCACTTGAATCGTCCTGTCTTTCGCTTGTATGACCCCCGCTCCCTGATTGTAGAGTACCTGCATAGCGAGAGTATAGACAGATATGAAACTCCGAAAATCCATCAGGCCTTCACCGATGCCTCCGCGAATAAAGTTAGGGCCCAGAAATGCAGCCAACCCATGAATTTCGATTATCCAGAGCGATTTATTAATACAAATGTTACGAACCATCGTTTATAAAGCACGTATTTGACTTAGTTTCGTCATAAATTTACTCATTTTTGTGAAAGAACGCTCATTTATGTACTTTCTTAGCCATCTTCGTTAGAATTGGAATCTACAGACTGGCAGTGAAATTTTGTGCGTTTGAAGTTGGTTAGAAGGGTGGCTGCACTTTTAGGCCCTAAGCCCTCCATGAAGCGATCTGTCCATACTCTCGCTATACAGGTGCTCTACCTGATTGGAGGAAATGTGGACGATGACGTGGAGGAACTTACTTGTGGAGGATGACGGTTCTTTCAGGATCACATGGCCATGACGGGTATTCGTGCTTGCCGGACTCGGGGGTGCCGACGCTATGCAAGGCCTTGACGAAGTCCTGGCTGCTGTCGGCGAGGAGTTCCTTAAGAACCGGCGCGCCCATCCGTGTCATGATCCGCATCGAACTTACAACGTACGGCGAGTCCGTGATCTCCACCCCTATCTTCGAGAATGGGGAGCCCACCGGACCCATGCTGAACGGAATCACGTACATGGTGCGGTCTAACCGACAAAAAACAGCGGAAAATCAGGGTTGTTGAAGCACAGAATAGGAAAAGAATAGCACCATCGGGCCGATTATTGGAATTTATAGACAAAGCTTCTGGACTTCTGGCGTAGATCTGCTGGTATTTCCAGAAGGGATCGCGTCATAAATGAGACGGTACGGGAGATCATGGATGCCAAGCAGACCATCGTGCATGACATTATGACAAAACAACTCATTTGGTATGGTCATGTCCAGAGAATGGCAGGAGACAGGTTGCCAAAGAAGGTCCTTGATTGGGTTCCTCCTGGGAGAAGACGCAGAGGGCGCCCAATGAAAGATTGGAGGGAAGGGATTGAAGCGGAAATGTTAAGGTGCCTAATCCCCCAAGATTTGTGGTTTGAAAGAGAGCAGTGGAGGTTAGGAGTCGTAGAGCGCAAGGGAGTGCTGTAAAGCGACTTATATGTATGTATGTAGACAAAGCTATAGACAAAGAATACATAAGGAGTATGAGCTATCCTATTGGTTGAAATGGATGGTTCTTATAGACGAAGGGGGTACATGATGGACTAACTATCGGGTCTCTCGTGGGTTGCTGCTAGTTAGTCTATTACCTACGTCATTTGTCCATCGCAATCACCCGCTTCCACCAATAGGATCCCTCCATATCATTTTTATCTTCTTGGTCTATCAATTTCAATAATCAGCCCACAGAGGGTGTGCCCCCTGAACGGTGCCTCTCCAGTCTCCAAGACCCGCTTCGTGGGCCCCTGCAATGAAATAAAAAGTTACGGGCTATATAAAAATACTGTCCGCGTTCCGGGCTCAGAGACCGAAAGTTCCGGGTGATGGAGCCGTAGCTTCTGTTGCTCCGATGCCACCCCGATACTTTCGGCCTCTGAGCCCGGAACGCGGACGGTGTGTCTATGCAGCCCGTAAGTACGGCCTCCAGTGCCGAAGGTTTTTATGTTACTAGTGGAGGGTCTCTTGTCTCTGTTTTTACCGAACACTGAGACTTGAGACTGGTTACACTGACGTCAGACGACCAAAGTGATGTTGAGCGAAGATCAAAGTGACTGCAAACATCACAGAGATATCAAATGATTAAGGTCAGTAAACTTCGATAGGGTCAGATTGATATGGATTAAACGGAATCGGTTATTGAATCGGTGCGGTGGGATGTCATCATGACTCTTGTTTGCCAGCGAGACCTCCTAAACTTTGACTCCTTTTTAATACATGTTATTCGCACAATGTTAATGACGTTCAGTGGCGTGGCGTGCTTTGAGGTATATCGATTGATCGGTCATTTAAACCTATGGAAAAGTATCGATAAACAAGGTGTTCGCAGCGAACACCTTAATAATCGATTCTTTACCATGGCTTCAAATGGAGAAATATCGATAGGTCGCAAAGCACGCCACGTCACTGATGACGCGCAGTGGATCTAGTCCATTAGAGAGGTCGGACATGAAATTTTTGACAAAAACTGCAAATATTTATGTTCATTTCGCCACATTTTAAACTTTGAGGAGTGTTTCTTGAAGAAAATTTCACGAGGAAACCAATGGAACCACTTTTAGAACCTCAAAGTTTTGTATAAACGGACTTATAAGCGTTTGAAGTTTCCGAATTTTGTCCGATCCAACCTGTTGACTCGATCCACTTTGTGACGTTGCCGATATTTACCTTTCATACACCCAGGAAACCTTTCGCTGACGACTTTATCCATGTCGTCGTAAGACATCCAGTTCCCTAGTTGACCCTGGACTCCAGGTTTAGCGGTAGGCACGGCCTCCCTCTTCTGTCGGGTGACAATGAATGTTTTGCTCTCGACTCGCGCAACATCTGCGGGGTTCGTCCTGGCCAACCAACTGAAAATAATGAAAGCACTTGATGAAGCATGTAGTTCCACGATTTCCACGGGGCTAAGCGGGTGAAATAATCGATACTGTGAGTCAGTATTAATTACAAATGTTGGTAGCAGCGGAACCAAACATAAGAGGAAAGTGGAAGTGCCTTCAATTTTTTACACGCAACACGCACGCACATTCGTGGAACGTTGACAGTTGCATCGAGGTGCCCGTGCCATGATGAACTGAATACCTGTATAGCGTGAGCGCCTTCAATTTTTGAATATGCAACAAGCACATCCTTGGAACATGAATAGTCGCATCAAAGTGCCACAATGAACTCAGTCCTTGTGAAGCGCGAGCGCCTTCAATTTTTGAAAATGCATCACGCACATCCGTGGAACATGAATAGTTGCATCAAGGCGCTACGATCTACTCCGTCTGGTCCTTGTTAAGCGGGAGCTCTTTCTGCTTCAGGCTCCCTCTTTGGTGCCCTGACTTCGTCCAACTTTTAATCCTGGTTTAGAATGAGCTCCCAAGGCTCGCGGGTCTATCATCGAGGTAAATGAAAGGCAACGAGCATTGGATGCATTTTCTCTTTCAATAAATGTTAAGTGCAACATTGTTGTCAATTTTTTTTCGGTAAGCAATGTATTTTATTGACAGCTCTGGGTAGGTACGTAACATAATTCATCAACCCGATTAGAATACGTGGATCGTTCTTAACAGCATTTTTGTTGTTGAAAATCACTGCAATTTGAAACTACACGGACAAGAGCAGATCCAGCAGATTGGCAACATTGTCTACTCTTCATTTGAACCTAAGATCGATTCATTTTGAAACACTTGGCCCCTCCGAGAATCGATACATTCAGTGGCGTGGCGTGAATTTCGATGTATCGATTTTTATGCCATTTAAACCTATGGTAAAGAATCGATTATTAAGGTGTTCGCTGCGAACACCCTGTTTATCGATCCTTTTCCATAGGTTTAAATGACATTACAATCGATTTATCGCAAAGCACGCCACGCCACTGGATACAATCCCATAGGTTTGACTGGATAGAAAACAGTATTGCCAACTCACTGGATCCACCTCTGTGTACGTAATCATTTGAGCATTTTGGTGAAAGACGTATTAGAGCTGTCCCATTTCCCTCATTTTGATGTCTAAAAATTAGAAACCAATGATTCTTCTCTTAAAATTAACCACAAAATATAACGTTTGCCATATTTTTACATTAAGAATTCAGCCAAAATGGTAGTTAGAGGCGTTCAAGTCACTGTAACACAAAATCAGGGCAGTACATTTGAAGCTTACGCATTTCTGATCGCAGATTTCAATTTCAGGCTCAGAAATGACCCCAAAGTCAGGATATGAGGAAAAACAGAGCCTAGATAGATCTTAAATTTCAGTTTTTTAATTCAGTGCTATTGTAACTTTGGGGCAAAATTTTAATCGTAAAATGGGAATGAATAGTAACTTAAGCATTAAATGGATTGCATTTTGCAAAAAGGAACCATTAGCATTGCAATGATGCTAAGATTGTGCAACTTCATCTTTTGCACAAAATCGCGGAAATCGTGGAAAACTATGAAATTTAAATGGTAATTTTTGTCTTAAATTTACAGTTTTTAGCGAGTAAAATAGAAACTATTAATGGATAATCGGGGTTTTCCTCCAAGACAAAAGAAGTTGCACAATCTTAGCAACATTGCAATGCTAGTGGTTCCTTTTTGCAAAATGCAATCCAAATGAAAGTGTAAGGAAAATCGTACCAGTTTTTATACTTGGGAAGAGGAACTATTGTGCCTTCCTTTTGCATCCGCTGAAGAAGACTCTCATTTTCAGACTCCGATCCATCGCATATATGAATGTCCCTCGGCTTGCACAGACTTGCTTTTTCTTCAATAAAATCTTTTAGCTATGAAAGGAACATCAGAAGTACATTAGATATTTACAATTTAAAATACACTCTGCAATTAAAGATTACTCACTGAAAAGTTAGATGCACTGTCTCCTCCCAATGTTGTAAAATAATCCCTTATTCCTTTTTTTCTTCGAGTTATGAAGAAGTTCTTGAAAAAATGAAAAGTGGCTCCAATTGGACGTATTTCTCTCAAACGGAACTATGTGCATTAAGACGTGAGCCCTGAGACCCATAAGAATACACGTATAACAGGGCTCACGTCATAATGCACATAGTTCCGTTTGATAGAAATACGTCCAATTGATCATTGAACAATACTTTGCCATCGTTTCAGTGACGTGGTGTGAATTGCGATGTATCGATTGTTATGTCATTTAAACCTATGGTAAAGAATCTATTATTAAGGTGTTATCTGCGAAAACCCTGTTTATCGATCCTTTTCCATAGGTTTAAATTACATTACAATCAATTTATCGCAAAGTACGCCACGCCACTGCATCGTTTGTGCTTATCAATAACGGCGACTTCAGACGCAGTTACTCTATTCATTAATGTAATCTAAGGAAATAGATGAAAAAGTGCCCAAATAGACAAAATTTTAACAAATCTAATAAATATACATTATACGCAATACCTACCTAGACCCCTCCAAAATGTTTGTATTCAAAATGTGTCCTCTGACCGTTTTACCATTAATATATCATTCGAGGAGAAAAACTACAGAAGGGAAAGGGCCTTTTGCTTTCACACAATGCGTATAAGGCCGACAAGAAATTGAATAATTCTTACCTTAGGAGGGAGCAGCTCTGGGTTCCCATGAATCACACTATATCCTCTGATGTGTTTATACAAGGCATTTAAGAGCGGAAGCTTGTGTCCTCCGACTTTTGAAAAGCTGTTCGCATAGCTGGAAACACAGAGAAAATTACGACTGATTAGTGAGACTCAATACTTGTGTATAGATATTAACATCGGTAGTATAGGTAATGGGTGTTACATTAATTGGATTACATTTAGCAATTGCATTTCCTTTAAATTTTGAAATTTTGTGAAACTATCAATTTTAAACCCCTGGAATCACATGCTTTTTATAATTACAGTATCAATTTATCGAAAAAAGTAGAGCAGAGTCCATCTCCACGAGATCTTGGCAATAGACAAGAGAAGTACTTCATAATCTTTGGAAAAATCTTTAAAACATTTTTTAAGAGTATCCACTCCAAAAAATGAAATGGCTTTCGTGGTTTTGGTATCAATCAATCGAAAAAATTACATCAGAGTCTATCTTCACTACTGCCGTGCTAAGGAAGAACGCCGTATGAGCATTCGAGCGTTGCCAAATTTCCTCCGATAAAATGTTTATTTTTCAGGAAAATTATCAATATTTTTCCTTGAACTTTGCAGACTTGTTAGATCAAATTGCAAGCAAAATTACTTAAGAAATTGGAAGAAAAATATTCACAAATTTTCTTGAGACTTAGTATTTTTCAAAGGAAATTTGGAAACGCCCGAAGGCTCATACGGCGTTTTTCTTATGTAGCAGAGTAGGTTTTGAAAACAGAGGGGAAAATTATCGAGTGAAATAATGCGTATAGTTAGGAAATCTGGCATGGTTACAATAACGCGGCTAGCCTTAGAGTGCTGGACTGTGGGCAGAGTTCATTGATCAAAGCTTTCGACGGGGCAAATTGGATTAATTTCCATCTAGCACGTACCAAATGATGAAACAAAACGATGACAGCAAGGAGCCACTCGAGGCAAACCACTTTATTTGAACAGGCATTGTTAGGCAATGACTATGCACAGTGCACAGGTTGATAAAATGAGATCAATATAAGTGGGTCATCAATTTTTGAAAGCTCCGAGTGAAATTTAATGCATTTTCAGAGATCGCTGACCAGATTGGCAAATTAAATGGCCTGCCAAATGGGCCATCCGGAAATTACGTAAGGCACTTATTTCAATTTCCCCTCCCCCTTGCAAGACACCCGTAAACCGGATTTGAACGAATATAGTGATATGTGCCACGGATTGTGGCCAAACACTCGGTATCCGCAGGATTTTGGGCAATGCACCCTCAAATTAATCGTAGCGCCACACACCGGCTTAATAAATCTCGGTTAAGCTTAATAAATCAAGGCGGCATTTTCCTTGTCCAATCCTCCAAAAACTGTGGAGAATTGCACTTGCACCTAAGTGATTTTATCCGTTAAAGACCTGGTATGCACTTGTGCACAGTTCTCTAAAGTTCAGCACAAAAATGAGGTTTGACGATTTTTTTTTTAACAATTTTGTAAAGAAAGGTTGCATCTAAACCTTTAGAAAACTTTCGAGAACGGTATCAGCAAATTCAAAAATAAATTTGAACCATGCGCCACAGAGCAAAGCGCCTCATTACGTGGCGCCCTCCTCAAGTCCCGATAAAAATCTAACAAGCAAAGCGCCACACTGCACAATTGCCGATCGCCTTGATTGCAGGCGCTTGGCGTCATTCTTCTCTGTCGTAGTCTGTTGCGGATTGCACCGGGAAAATAAAGACTTGTAGGAGATTTCAGCTGGTGCGTGGCGCCACGATCTACTAAAAGTTGCCTCGATTACCAAGATCTATAGCGCGACTCCAAAAATTACTCAGAACTACACCGATCCCCTCTCCCACCTCTCCCTAAGGTACCTGTAATTACTAGAGTCGTCGGTTCTGTCATACTTTCCGCCCCTTACTTCGTAGTTTCCCTCTCAGTAAAACATATCTCCATTTCAGTGTTGCCAAATTTACCCTCGCAAAACGCATATTAATCAGGGAAATCTTGGGCATTACTATAACTGAAAATTTCACTAATTAATCCTCAGATTTCATGCAAAAAACCAGACAATTCTGAATAAAAACCCCTTAGGTACGTTTTTGTGAAATCACTTGATTGTTTGAGTCAATTTGGCAGCCTTGGAATGGAGTTACGTTCCTTCGTCCGGGATCAGTGGCGTGGCGTGAATTGCTATATATCGATTGTTTGCCATTTACACCTATGGTAAATAATCGATTATTATGGTGTTCGCTGCGAACACCCTGTTTATCGATCCTTTTCCATAGATATAAATGGCTCAACAATCGATATATCGCAAAACACGCCCCGGGATATGTGTATTTCGTTTCCTTATGTATTTTGTGGAACCGCAATCCCTGCTGTTGGGAGGAGGCGAGAGAGTTGGCGGAAGAGGTCTGCAACCATTTCCGCAAGTAATCACAGTTAGTCGGAGACTAAAAGTGGAATTTCATGAAAACCTGAGGCTGTCTCTCCGCGGGAAGTTTCCCCACGACTTTCCGCTGCGATAATTTGCACTTACGAGGTGGTGAAAAAATTGACTAAACCTCCACCGCACAGTGGATCTAGTCAATTAGAGAGGTCGGACATGAAATTTCTGACAAAAACTGCAAATATTTATGTTCATTTCGCCACATTTTAAACTTTGAGGAGTGTTTCTTGAAGACAATTTTACGAGGAAACCAATGGAACCACTTTTAGAACTTCGAAGTTTTGTATAAACGGACTTAAAAGCGTTTAAAGTTTTCGAATTTTGTCTGATCCAACCTATTGACTCGATCCTCTGTGCGCCGTTCCAAGAGTGACTTTTAACTCATAATTAAACTGTAAGGTTGGATCATAGAGCGACCGAGAGGAGAAGAAGGAAAGGAAGCAAATTGTGTGTCGTTTTATTAGTCCCTCGATCGTTTGTTTTAATCCCCCATCAGTACATTCGGTTAGCTTTACAAATCATTTACTTTTGCCCAAATATCCTATACATTTAAAATATCAGAAACAGTGCAACAATAATATTGAGAGAATTATGCAATTGAATGCAACGAGAGTGCAATTTTTCACCTTGAAATTTTAGTATTTTTATATCATTCGGTCAATAAGTACTCATTTGAAACAATCAACAAAAAGATCACCATGTACCACGTGTAAGAGAGGTAGGCAATTAGCAATGCCGAAAGAAGTGTAGGTAACGTATTAAAATTTTTTGGCAATGAGTTTGAATAAGGGAAGCCCCTTCAATTCGTGAATACACAACATTCACAACACTTCGATACAGTAGCAATAATTTTACTATGCAATTGCATTTTAGGGTAACCTGTGCTCCTTGCAAACTCTTTTACCTGGATTACGCAAAAACAAAAAAACGGGGAGCAGCTTCCATGAGGATACGGTGTCGGCAAAAAATAGCAGACATTTCTTTTCCCACAGTTCGAGGCGTCCCGAAACGTCCCGTCTTCAAGTTGAAAACAACTTGTACCCGAATTTGTCGATAATGGTAAATAATGTATGAAACGAGCTAGAAGCTAAAAAATAAAATAATAGGGTTTAATAATAGAGTTTCCAACTACCTACATGATGTCTATACTGTAAAAAAATGTTTGTATGAGTTGTATTTTCATCTTTTGCTTGTTGCGTTATCATGTAGGTAGCTGAATACACTGTATTATTATTTTATTTTTTGGCTTTAAGCTCGTTTGGTACATCATTCACCATGTTTTTAATAGCTTAGCTGGCCAAATTTGGCAAGAAAGTGTATTTGTTGATATATTGCTTGGACGGATAGGTAAACGTTGTTTTATCCATGTATGATTTGAAGAATCCTAGAACTCTCCTCTTGAAAGAAGTTGCTTGAAAAAAAAAAATACAGAGATGAACTTACTTATAACAGTACTCTTTTTCGCAGTGGTCTGGCATGATTACAATGGTCCGCCGCACTATTACAAACAATCGAGGTTTGATGCAATTTCGAATCCTTCGATAAACCCGTAGATCAACGGCTACTCTGAGGGTCTAAATAGGTTCTATGTAAAAAATTGTCTCTATCATGAACTGGATTTTATTGGTTTTTAGCTCCTGCTCGAGCGCTATATTCAAGCCAGATTGTGTGAGTTTTCTGCGATTTATGGCCATATAAAACCAAAACATACGAAGGAAAGGTGGGTGAAAATGTGCAACACCAGAGGTTGTCGGGAAAAATCCAAGTTTCTATCCTACGAAAAACGTGAGAGCGCGCCCCACTCACAGAACGCGTAATTTCGGATTTCGGAAACGCGTGTGAACAAGCGAGCAAACAACCACACAAGTTAAAGGAGTTAAGAGCTGGTGATCAACTGACGTGATGATTGATAAGCCGGTGATTATATACCTGAGATGCTCCCAAGCGTGGCGCCCCCCCCCCTCCCGCAACAGCACGTGTCCGTTGCGTACGAGGAACTTTTGAGAAAGAAAAGTGAATCCTAAAATGAATTAGTCCTCATACGCGGCTTCTGTGCCAATGACTCATGTGGTGAGGACTGGGCAGTGCTCCCATTTCCCGGGACTATAGTTCCGAATTCCAGAACTTTTGAGATTTTTCTGAATTTTTCTCGGAACTTTTGAAAGTCGAACTCAGCTTCTGTGCCAATGACTCATGCACTCATGTGGTGAGGACTGGGCAGTGCTCCCTTTTCCCGGAACCTTAGTTCCGATTTCCAGAACTTTTCAGATTTTCCTGAATTTTTCCCGGAACTTTTGAAAGTCCCGAAATGTTCCAGATCTTTTGCATTTTCCGAACTTTCTAGGAACTTTTGGAAAAATCTAAAAGGAGCCCCGAAACTTTTGACGGTCATGGAGTGGGAAATGGGAACAAAAAAGTTCCGAGTCCTGGAACTTTTGACGGTCATGGAGTGGAAAAATTGGAACAAAAAAGTTCCGAGTCCCGGACATGGAATGGGAGCACTGACTGGGCTAGTTAACCTGTCGAAACGGGCGGAACCGGGATATTTTCGCAGGGAGGGCAGGAGGGCACCTTATTAAGAGGGGCCTGGGGGCACAAGAAAACAACCCATCAAGGGGGATCTGCTGGACTCCCCTAGCTTTGGAGGAAAGTTTGGGGGAATTCCCCACCTCAAAAGAGAGGTCCGGAGTACCTCACCCGGAAAATGCTTAAAAATTGAGTTGTCCTAAGAGCAATTTTGAGCTATTCTGGCCGGAAACTTGATTCAATTACAATTTTTAAGATAAAAGTTGTGTCACGCACTAAATTGGAAAAATCGTTAACACTTATTGGGAGCGGCTAGGCCTCCTGCCATCTACTGCCGCCCATTCCTGTTGCAAATTATTCTTGCATCGTTTGGATTCATGGTTATATTCACATTATATGGCAATAAAATTTCAATGTATATCTGTATATCTAAACAATACCGGTACAAGCCGACTTCTTGGGGACACTATTTTTAGACCAATAAGATTATGATTCATACAATATTGTCCGCTCCGTCTTAGTCGTAGATTTGCGAATTCAAAACCCCAAAATTCAATAATTTGGAGCTTTTAAGCGCAAGTTCCGTATGTAAGACGCTAATGGTACCTATGGGAATAATGCGGTTTCCGCAAGAAATGTAATATGGGAGTGGTTTTACCTAAATCTCGGCGAGAGTAGTGCATGACTCCCCCCCCCCCCCCCCCNGGCCCGTTTGCTCTTGAAGGGTTGTCTCGTAAGATTTTCACACACTATTTCCTTATTCTGCTGGCTTCAATATTGTGGCAATCTCGAAGACCTAATTTTCAATCGGTGCACTTGTGTGAGATCAGCCAATTTTTTTTTGTTTTTTTTCACTCGCTCCTTTTTTGGGAGGTAAAGTGTCAGCTGAGCACGCAGTAATTTTCCCCCCTATTTTCGAGAAGCTTTTCACTCCGAATAACGAAATTCAAGGTTTTAAATTTTAAAACCTGCGTTTTTTCCACTGCACCCCAGAGACGAAATAAAGTCAAAATTACCCCTTGAGATTCCGCCTTTCGACCGAGCGGCATCACCGACCGCATCTGCTCTCGAGGTGGGAGAGCTAAAAAGACCGAAATAAACCGACTGTGGTAATGTAACCCGTCGAGAATAGAAAGAACCCTGGAAAATTGAAATATCAAGCACTATTTGGCAGGATCCGAGAATTAATCTCGGGGGACGGCCCTTATATGGATTACATTTTGCAATAAGGAACCACCATCACTGGCTCTTCTATAAAAGCACCTTTCTGCATAAGGAATCCAATGGCACATACGCTGTTTCTGAAATGAGCTAGAAATAGTAGTTCCTTATTGCAAAATGTAGTTCTTATGCGGGGCGAGCGCAGATTTCGTGGGAACAAGCGGCGGTGACGTGGTGTGCTTTGTGATATATGTATAGCGATTGATTTGTCGTTTAAGCTTATTGAAAAAGATCGATAATCAAAATAAGGGTGTTCGCAACGAGCACCTTAATAATCGATACTTTACCACAGCTTCAAACGAGATTATATCGATATCCGATAATTTACGCCTTGTCACTGACGCGCGGAAATTTCACGGGTGTTGAGTTCTGTGCCTTATACCTAGTGACCTAATGGATCCCATGGGGCAGCCAGGTCATCACGCGTATTTACGTGCTGCAGAGGCGTAGCGTGGATTGCGATGTATGGAATGTTCTGCCATTTAAATCTATGGTAAAAAATCGATTATTAAGGTGTTCGCTGCGAACACCCTTTTTGTCGATCCTTTTCCATGGGTTTAAATGGCAGATCAATCGATATATCGCAATTCACGCCACACCACTGGTGCAGAACTATTAGGCAATGCATTCATCAATTCACGCAGACCAATTTTCAGGAACACTTCGCAGCCAGTAAGTGCGAATCGTTAATGTATGCAAAATAATTTTCTAACATCTGTGACGTGATGTTTAAAGTTGGCCGTATGAACGCGACATACTCAAGGTTGCAATTACGAATGTGGCAACACTGAGGGGGGGGGGTATTTGTAAACATTACTGGGTACAAATAAGCTAACGCCCCGTGAAAGTAAGCCGAATGTTCTGACAGTAGGCTATTTTTCAGAATTTAAGCTGCACGCGCTTGTACCTTGCGCGTCTTGTGAGCCGCGCCTAATCGGCGGAAAACGTGACGAGCGGTAGCTGCGGCTCGTCATGTCTACGAACGTGGCAATATCAAAGGGGATAAAGGGTATTATTGTGAAATTTTACGGAAAAACTTGACTAAGTGACATAAAAATACAAAAAACGTTGGCAATGTTGGCAATACGCATTGTAGTGGCGTATTGACCAATTTTTAGATTTTCAATGGCACCGCGCGGCGGTAAGCAGGAAGGAACCAAGCCACATCAGCGATTGTCAAATTTAATTGGGCATTTTATTTTTTACATAAAAATGGTTGTGCGTATTTTTGTGCAAATTTCGGTAAATTTTCTGCGTAGCTCGAGGCAAATTCCTTAAAGTTTTCAAAGGAATCAACACATACGTTCTCTTGTAAAAAATTAAATTACCAAGTTAAATTTGGCGATAGCTGATGTGAATTGGTTCTTTTCTGCTAAACGCCATCCAATTCATGATTTTCGAGGCACGCAAAATGTCAGCAAATGAGGCTGATTTTAAGTATTTTGTGAGTTTTCTCCTGGAAACCGTTTTCTAAATGTCAGAATAAAAAGCTGTACAACGAGAAAAAGGTGTAAAAAATTCCATACTTTTACAATCAGTATGGTGCCTAACTATGAGTCCTCCAATTTCCAGATTTCTAGGTGTTGTGTCACCGGAAAAATTGTACACTCACTGCCGTGCTAAGGAAGAACGCCGTATGAACATTCAAGAGTCGCCAAATTTCTCTTGATAAAACATGCATTTTTGACAACATTCATGGATATTTTTCCTTGAAATTTTCAGATACTTTAGATTAAACTGCGTAAAAAATTGTCTAAGAATTTTAGAAAATAACGTTCACAATTTTCCCACTAAATTCGGGTTTTATCGGAGAAAACTTGGCAACATCTGAAGGCTCATACGACGTTCTTCCATATACAGGGTGATCCAGACCACCCGTCCACCATATTTTTCTCGAAAACGGCGGAGAATTGAGCTTCGGGACCAAAACTTTCATGGGTAAATCGACCCCAAAGAATCGAATGAAAATATTTTCAGCCCCCCAAAATGGCCCCTTGGGGGGGTTTTGGGGGGGAGCCCCCCCGTTTCTCGCAATTTTCAAATAGAAAGGGTATGTTTTGACTTCGGATTCGGAATTTACGGTAAAAAATAAGAACATTTTGTTCTTTGCACTTTTTCCCTAAACCCCCATTTTTTGGATTTATGGGGCATTTTTGGGGCAATTTTCAATTCGACGCTGTAAGCGGCCAAATCATCCAAATTTCAAAATCTAAAAATCTCCTGAGAGGAGAGGTCAATACCTTTTTATTGATGTGCCACATGACCCCTGTTGCTCCAAAATTTTGGGGGCCACGACCCCCCAAAAATTTTGGGGCTTTGGAGGGCCATGAGTCGAAAATTTCGAAAGGCAAGGGTATGTTTTGACTTCAGATTTGGATTCTACGCGAAAAGTTACGTAGAATTGATATGGCGCATGGCCTGTTTGCTCAAATTTTTTTTTACCCCTTATTTTGTCCAAAAATACACGGCTTCTTATGGGGAAATGGGGTTCTTCAGTAATTTGGAGCAAACAGGCCATGCGCCATATCAATTCTGCGTAACTTTTCGCGTAGAATCCAAATCTGAAGTCAAAACATACCCTTGCCTTTCGAAATTTTCGACTCATGGCCCTCCAAAGCCCCAAAATTTTTGGGGGGTCGTGGCCCCCAAAATTTTGGAGCAACAGGGGTCATGTGGCACATCAATAAAAAGGTATTGACCTCTCCTCTCAGGAGATTTTTAGATTTTGAAATTTGGATGATTTGGCCGCTTACAGCGTCGAATTGAAAATTGCCCCAAAAATGCCCCATAAATCCAAAAAATGGGGGTTTAGGGAAAAAGTGCAAAGAACAAAATGTTCTTATTTTTTACCGTAAATTCCGAATCCGAAGTCAAAACATACCCTTTCCATTTGAAAATTGCGAGAAACGGGGGGGCTCCCCCCCAAAACCCCCCCAAGGGGCCATTTTGGGGGGCTGAAAATATTTTCATTCGATTCTTTGGGGTCGATTTACCCTATGAAAGTTTTGGTCCCGAAGCTCAATTCTCCGCCGTTTTCGAGAAAAATATGGTGGACGGGTGGTCTGGATCACCCTGTATAGCACTGCAGTATAGGCTGCCGAATATACCACCAAGGGTCGCGGGGGATCAAAAATATTTGAAGTCACGATTCTTGTGCT